AATAATAATAATAATAATAATAATAATAATAATAATAAGATCAACAACAACAACAATAATAATAAGTCTTAATGGGATCTGATCTGGTCTGATCTGATCTGATTTGATCTGGTCTGATCTGATCTGATTTTAATAAGAATAAGAAAAATAAGAAAAAATAAGTTGAACAGAACAAGGCCTTCATCCTTTTAAATTTTCTGTTCTTTATATTTTAGGGTATATCATTGGCCGTGCAATGCACGAGTTCAAAATCTAGTTAGTCTAATTGGTAAGAGTTTTTAAAAAGTAAAAAATAAAAATGGAGCAAAAAGTGTAAAAAACTTTGTTAAGAGAAAAACGAAAAAACATTAGGAGTATATTATTTAAAGCTTAAACTCTTAACTTCGAATAGCACCATATGCTGAGAAAAACAGCAAGAAAAAAGTTTTCCACTGGGAGAATTTCTCTCTTCACGGGTTCGGAGTAGACTCCACATGAATGGGATGATATGATAAATGACAAGTTCATTGTTTGCATATTGGAAGTGGGAAACATAGCTGATTAGGCATGAGGTATTGAGATGAACCCATACAAATATTTACCAACAGCAAGCCATGCTAAATGAGGGGGCCACTTGCAAACTGCAAAGGACTCGTCAGTCGTGACCACTTTGTACATTTGTACTTGTACAAGTGATAGGGACATGAGGGGAAACTAGAGGTGCAATTGAAGGGAGTGGGGGGTGCGTTCGGGTCGGGGCGGGGTGGGGGGTTTACCAGAAGGGTTAGGGGGGGTAGGAACCGTCAATTTTACGAACGGGGCACCGGAGCGCCCCGGGTCATCCCATGACATTGGTTCCCAATGTCATGGGAACCAAGGTGTTATTTTAGAGCATACTTCACCATCCCATAAAAAAATTTCATTGTTTGATTTTATGAAATTCCAAAAAATGTATTGAAAAGGAAACATTATGTGGTTCGATTTTTATTTAAAAGATAAAAAATATTTGTATGACCTTTTGAGAATAACGTTAGAGATTAGCGTTTTGAAATGGATATCTAAGAGCAGCGTTTAACATTTTTAAAAATAGTCTGTACCTTTAAAATTTTATCCAAAATACTAACGTTAACCGAAAATTTTATTTTCAAACGGGCCCATAGCCTGGATATTTCTTCTGTTTTAAAGGAAAGAGTAGAAGTGTATATTTTGTTTGAAGACATTCAAATAAGAAGTGTGAAATTCCATGGGAAGGAATATGCAAATGTAGTGTTGATATTTATACGAATGAGAAAGAAATAGTTTGATCACCTCTCCTTAATTATTGCTTTAAAAAATGTACATATTTTAGGAGATAGGAAAAAAAAGTGGAGCCTAACTTAGATGGAAGAAGTATGTATGCACTTCTGCAACCCAGAAAGTGATATTCCGCCAAATTCTAATTATCACTGTCCCACTGATTACATTCGGCCAAAATAAAAAATATTTGTACAGCTGGTCTAAATCTTTCAATTGCACAATGAAAAATGTTTTTTTAGGTATTGTAAACTCTTTTAAAATGTACTATTTCCTCCGTCTTAATTTTTTTTTTCATTTTCACTTTACGGGGTATGTCCGAAGTATTTTCAATTTAATTTAGTAAATTTGATTATAGGTATCGAATTTTCAAATAAAGTATATACTACATTTAAAAACTTCATCAAGAACTCTATAAAAAAAGAGGTGACAGTCATGTATTATTATATCAAATGACTAACGAAAATAAGTGAAGAAAATAATTAAAGATTGATTGTTTGAATAGTAACAAGGAAGAAAGTTTTAGGACGGAAGAAATATCTATTTTTATACTTTTTTAACATATTGAAACACAGATAGTCAATGTCCGGCTTTTTTTCTAGGAGGTACCCAAGCTTTTCGACATTGTAACAAAATGGAATCTCATCTACTATTTGTAACAAAAACATACACCATCTTTTTAAACTATAACAAAATAGTGTTCCATGGGATTGTGATAATCCGGCAAACAAATGTTGAGTTGGCATTCCTGTTGACTTTCCTCTACTCCTTGATATTATCAAGGTGCATTTTCTATTCATAGTATGAGCAATTTTTGTTCTTAAAAAATTTAGGGCAGCATTTTTCATGTTGAATATATAAAAATCTGTGCTTACATAAGAAAACATGGTAGAGCAGCATCTTTTTCTTAGAATTTTAAATTAGCAAGAATCTGTTTCCTTTTTATTCACCACGGTTCCCGTGACATTGGAAATCAATGTCATGTGATGACCCGAGGTCCCTACGGTACTCCGTTCAAAAAATTAATTGTTCCTACCCTCTTTGACTCCAAAGTCAACTACATCTTGTGGAGTGCAATTGACGGGGGAGGAGGGGTTAGTTCGGGTCGGGCCGAGTTGGGGGAGTTTACCGGGGGGGAGGGGGAAAAGAACAATTAATTTTTCAAACGGAACACCGCAAGGACCTCAAACAGAGATGATGTCATAGGATGACATGAGCGGTTATTGTCATTGGAACCTCAGCCTTTTTTATTTTCAACTTCCTATTTTGGTAGACGTTTCGGTTTGACTATCTTGATGAGGACTACGCCATGACCTCTTTATTATAATTTTTTCTTTTTTTAATAAAACTATATTTTCCAAAAGTAACAAAAAACGTGTTTGCAATGAATTAACCATAATTTTTAAAATTTTTAAGGAAAAAAGACCAAAGTGGGAATAAAACATTAAAAATAAATCAAATAAGAGTTCTATATTGTTATTACAAACGAAATATGAGTTACCCTTCTATTACAACATCCAAAGTTGGGATACCTCTTGGGAAAAAAAGCCGTCAATGTCCACGTTGAACTCGAACATGTTAGTGCGTAAAAATCTTTCCTAACCTACAACCACAAACCTCTTAACCCACATTTGGTCTCACACACAGGCAGACGACCGACGACACACAATTTTGTGGCAAACGACCGACGACACAATTTTGTGGCAATTGCTTCTAATTTCTTTTAAGCACACCTTTATGTTATAGAGCACAAACTTCTCACGATAAGTATATATATCATAACTTTAAGGCTGTTTGGTACACAGAAAATGGTTTTTCAGGTAAACCTAAATTAAGATAAAACCCCCAAAATTATGGCGACATTAAGGCTAATGCTTCGTTTGACATTAGCTTTAACGTTTTGAAAATAAAATCTAACAGTAACATTTAGCATTTTAGCCTTAAGAGTTTTTAGACTAAATTTGTACCATTAAAGAAGCATTAAATAATTGAAAAAAATCACACCAATACTTCTAAAATTGCAAGAGTTTACATAAATACTCCGAGATTCAATAAGTGACATCATTGCAACCAATTTTTTTCTATATTCACATCAGTATTTTGAGAACTGATATGTATTTACATCATTGCCCCAAGATTTGGAGCATAGAAGTAAACAAAGGTCAATTTTCGGAGCAACGATATGAATATAGGTAAATTTTGGGAACATTAGTGTCGTTTAACAAATCTCGGAGTATTTCTATAAACTCGTGCAATTCTGGGAGTATTGGTGTAAAACTAATGATAAATGTTATTCCCAAACGAAGCATAAATTGTATAACTTTAAAACATTTCCACATGTTTAATTTCATTTATAAAAAAAATTTACACACGTAAAGGGTGATGCTATATCAGGTCTCACTCCATGTAACCACCGTCAGTGATTGGTTGATAAGAAATATGAAAATCTCAAATTTACTGATTAATCAATATATCAATCAATCACGGATGGTTTGTAATTGGTACAGGGAGTGGGACAGAAGATCCCATTCGCTATTTCAGGATAGTTTAGTGTGTGCTTGCGTGTGCGCGTCTGTGTGTGTGTGTCTTTCTTACATGGTCTCCAAACTGTCGAAATCAGTATCATCCACAGTGAGCCAGTCTCCGGATTCTTCACCTTCGGAATCTTTCCCACGGGAAGTGGACTGACTGGTGATTTGTTGAGTCGCCCGAACGTTGGAATTTTCCTTTAATTGAATCCATTCAGGGGAATCACTGGATGATGAAACTTTCTTGTTGTGAGAATCAATATCATCATCATCCTCCAGATCGCTAAACGAAACATCCTCTGCATCTTTGGTTTGGTTCTTAGAGCTCCCAGGCTCGGCTGCAGTGTCTGCATTTACCGGTTGCTTTTCACCATCTAGAGGCCTTTGCAGGGTCTCAGGTTCATTTGTAGGCGCGGACTGTGTACTTTTCTTACTTTGAAGCTCCTGTAGAAGCATCTCCCTGACTCTGACTATCTGCAAAACGATAAGTATCTTCCAAGTTTAAGAATTTGCTCGCCCAAGGACATTAGCGCAATCAAGAAATGTGTTAAACCCAAAGGTGGTAAGTCGAGTCAGAGTTCGAATTGATGAAACAGGGACCACACAAATTTAGATATAATTTCTTTTCCTGTTAAAAGAAAGAAAACAGATTTATCGCATTAAAGATCACAAATGTCCACAGATCGCACATTTTCAAGGAGCTGGACGTAGAAACCAGTGGCAGAGAACTTGATCACATTATTTTAGCGTTTAGTCAATCCAAGCAAAAATTTGGAAGTTAATAATCCTAACACAGAATACCTGCATAGCCCATAAGATAGGAAGGATTTAAATGACGCTGGCTTCAAAGATTGGACCTATCGTCCAGCAGTCTAAGGTGAGAAAGTAGCTGCAATACCATGAGCAACATATATTGTTTATCAACAGTGCCATTGTGTTTTTGGAGAGCACTTAACACTATGTTTGGTTCATGGAATTCAAAAGGAAAAGAAAAGAATGTTTTCTCTCCTTTTCCTCACTAAAACAGAACGAAAATCTTTTTCCTTAGTGCATTTCTTCTCCCATTTTCTTTTCTTTCCACCTTTCTTTTTGTTTTCCTCTCTAACAAACGAGAAAAGTTGATTTGTCTCTTATTTTCTTTTCTTTTCCTTTTTAAATTCCTTGACCCAAATATAGCGTAAAAGATCAGGCAAGTAGCTATATAACTGAGTCATTATATTTTAAATGTTATTGCTTCTTTGCATAGTTGCCATTCTTTTCTCAATCCTTTATTTGTGTTTCTTAAAAATATTCATAGGTTGGTTTCTTCTTTCAACGTTTTGATTGAAAGTCATGTCAAACAAGGGGGTAACCATGTTGATCATCGTGTTGCAAGAGTATGTTCCATCAATGAGTTGAGTCTGATGCACTTTGATCACTTTCCTCCAGGGAAACCTTCCCTGGCAGAGTTGGATTTAATCACATCAACAACAACAAACTCAGCCAAATCCCACAGCAGTGGGGTCTGGAAGAGTGTGTGTACCGGCCAGAGAACTGCCCGAGAATTGAACTGAACTGAGACTTCCGGCCACCGGTGCCACACTGCCACCCATACAGTACCGGGAACCAGCAGTTCCGAAACCGGACCGGTGTCGTGTCCACGTCTACACGCATACAGGAAATCAAGAGTATGCTTAGAAATTTGATGTACGAGTTATTTATTATTTTCGTTGGAATAAGTATACAAGTGAAAGAAAAATTCGGAACCTAGCCCATGACTTAAAATAACATTGACGACAACAAAGCCTTATAACAAACTTACGGTCGACTGCTTAAACGAAACGGAGAATAAGGGGTCATTCACAAAACTGTTATCACCATTTCATTCAATTCACAACTACACTCTTGCCCAAATTTAGATGAGACAAATTGCTACTAGTCACCCATCTCCCAAGTCTTTTTGGTTCTTCCTCTTTTGGAAGATTCACTTTTTCACCCCTCAAGTTTTCTAACAGGTGCATCACTAGGATTATTTTGCATGTATCCGAAGTCCAAACCACTAGGATCGATTTTCTCTTAGGGTCTGTTTGGGAACCAGGAAAGTGACTTGTAGAAAATGACTTCCGAAAAATGAGTTATTTTCTTGAAATCATTTTCCTTCTCTTGTATTTGGGTGAAAGTCTGAAACGGTTTGTTTTTGTTTGGTTCATTTTCTGGAAAATAAATAATTTTAGACAGCTTTATAGAAAAAATCCCAGTTTATGGAAAATCCCAATTTCTAGAAAAGTATATGGAGTAGCAAGAACCAGCAAAAATTCAAAGCCCTGGTTTCTGGAAAATTGCACCATCAAGTGAAGAAAGGAAAAACCGAAAAACAGCAATAGATGTTTCATGATAGAGGCACAATTCAAAGCAATTGAAAATACTCCTTAAATGAGAAGCTTGAATTTCAAAAAAAAAAAAAACGGCAATAGAGAGGTACGAAGAGAAAGAGAATACCATTTTTTTGGGAAGTGAAGAACGGCGATGGAGAGTGGAGACAGAGCGAAGCAGACTTGATTGAATACATCGAAAGTAAAAAAGAGAGGAGAGATGGTGAAAGAGCAAGCCGAGGCGGAAGGAGCGAGCAGAGCGACTATAATTGAATTCTTGAATTGAAAAGGAGAAGTCACAATCCAAAAATTCGCCCTCATTTTCCTTTGAGCAAAAAGTTAATTTCCATTGACTGTATTTTCTAACTTCCGAAACACCAGAAAATGGGGAAAATGAGTTCTGAAAGTCGTTTTCCCCCTTTCCAAATAGACCTTAAATTTATCTTCAAATATGTCACTTCTAACTTCCTGTTTTTCTATCTATCCATTCTAGTATGCCCACACACCCATCATAACATACGTATTCCAGTTACATTCATTTTCATAAGATATAACCCATTACGAGCCCAACACCCTCTAGCGTATAGCCATATAACAATGCTAGTTGAATCGCAATTATGTAGAACTTTCCATTTAGTTTCAAAGATATATCACAACCACAAAGAACTCCAATTGCACTCCATTCTAGCCAACCCGCTTTTACGCAATGTTCAACATCTCCATCAAATTCTTTTTTTTGTATAACAGAGCCCAAGCACCAAGCATCTAAAACAATCATTGGTTGGAATTTCTTGATCATCTGCAAAACTCAGATCCCTGTTTATTTGTTACTAAACTTACATTCCATAAATTACATTTTACTTCTGCAAATCTGAAACCTTAAGACTCTAGCGCCATCCTCCACATTTTTAACTGCTCATTAACACCAACTCAAGTTCTTCTACCGAAATAATATCATCAGCAAACAATACACCAAGGTAATCTGTGTAAGAGTATAGAAATAATATACTACTGTGTCCCATAGTAAAGTTTACTCTTCTCTTTTTGGAATGTCTCAAAAGAAAGTTTACACTTCTTTACTTTCCTATCAAGGATATGTGGTAACAAATTTCAATAACACACTTTTTTAAGTTTTAACACCTTTCTTAAACCTTATCCGATAGTAAAGTTTACTCTTCTCTTTTTAGAATGTCTCAAGATAAAGTGTACACTTCTTTACTTTCCTATCAAGGATATGAGACTCATAACATTTATCTATCTTCTAAACAATTTTCAATAACACTTTTTAAGGTTTAACATCTTTCTTACACTCCGTAAAGTGAAAGTAAACTTCATTTTGGGATGGAGTGAGTATAATTCATACTTAATGCTCAATTTTTAATGTCATTGACATTGTAGGACTGCTTGCCATCGCTATATTGCATATTTTTGGCATTTGGAAAAACATTTTCATTCAACATTAACACAGAAGTGAAATACTGATCTATGGTTAACCCGCTAACACTACCACTCTGAATTTTAGAGCAGCATTCAATAAATATACATAACTGGTAGCTAGCATGGCCCCGCAAATCTCTGGCTCAAAACATAAAATAGAGATAGTTCTATAACCAGTAATAACGGGGTTAACAGAAGGCCAGAGACTGTCTGCATGCCACTAGACCAAAGGTGCATTATTATACGGAATTTCAACTATCATTTCCCAACTACGAAAAATATTATGAATTCTGGTATAGAAGATGTAAAAATACTAGTGTATTTATATAGGATACTCTGATACTCATATAGCATATTCATATCCTATGGTAAGTTACCCTGATTTTTTCAGGTAATTATTATAAGTACTATGTCTCACATAGCATGTTCATATCCTATGGTAAGATACACTGATTTTTTCAGGTAATTAATTATAAGTTCTATGTCAAAAGTCTATGTGACTACATATGAGTGTGTGTGTGTGTGTGTCTCTGTGTGTGTGTGACACGTGAAACAACCTCTCTACTTTTAAGTAGGGGTAAAGTGTGCGTACACACACCCTCCCCAGACCCTACTTTAGTGGAATTCTACTGGGTTTTGTTTTTGTTGTAGTTGTGTGTTGTGTGTGTTGTGTGTACTGGATATGATAGTCAGAACAAGTTACACAAAAAAGAGGTAAAAGAAGCAAAAAGAAAAGCATGCATGCGCATTTGTATTATGAGAGAGAGAGAGAGAGACACTAACCTCAGGACTTGAAAGGATCTCCAAATCATTGTCGTCCAACCGAGGAAGCAATAGTATAAAATAAATCATCCAAAACTGCTCATCTTTTAAATGGTTGGAGAGATTTTGCTTTAAGGCTCCAAGACTTGGCACCAATTGCTCAATAGTTTCAACATGCTCTTTTTGGTTATCAGAGATATGAAAGTCTGCAGCAAATTCACATATAACATTCAGTTCAAAGTACCAAGGCAGGTAAATTAAGTAATTTGGGAACTAAAATAGAGAATGCAACAATATATTTCCAAATCCACTTTCAACATATGCAACATGTTAAAATTCAATGAGAATTATCAGTGAATAGGGAAAATGATGTTCGATATATTAATATTTAATACTACCTTCATCCCAAAAAAAGTCTTCCATTTCTAATGAGTAATGCCAAAAAGTAAAACAATATTGAAAATGGAACTCTTTTTTGAGATGGAAGGTGTATAACTATATATATTAATCCAACTTTTCAAGTTCATAGAATGATGATTTCAAACATACACTACCAAAGGTAATAAGCATGGACATTTTGTTATCACATCCACACCCCATGAGAAATATTTTTCTAATAAGTACTCAGTAGCTAGCATCAAATTTTCTATCGATGGGCTGCTAAAGCAAGATGCAAAAAGTGAAATAAAGAAAATGCAAATGATGCCATTAAGTCTAGACATCTTGAAGCTATATTTAATCAACCTAGTTTTTTCTACTCTCCATGTTAAATTAATGGCATCCAATTTTAACAATGGATATGTGTAGTTTTGTTCTCAATAATGTTGTCTGTATTTATATATCAGGCACAAGAGAGAAAAATAAAGTCGACAGAAGAACTCTCTGTATGCAAAAATGATCACTTTCGATTAACACAGCTAATGTATGTTCCCTTGAGAGGACACCTTAACCCACCAAGACTAAACAATTAACAAAAATGTCAATTTTAAGTAGAAGTGATAATGATTGAACACCAATGCATAGTTTGATGGCATTCAACATTCGTACATGTCCCTTCCAGACAAAGTCATTTCCCAAAATCATACACCACAAGCAATCAGCAACACAAGAACTCATCTATGATCCGGGAAAGTTCAAAACTATTACTTCTACTAGTACAAGAGCCATTGAAACAGTTTTTTTAAAGAACAATTTCTGATACTTTACAGAAAAAATACTTCAGGATCAAACACTGAGGAATTAATTTCAGCTCACCAAACCTTTGGTTCTTTATTAAGACAAATGAAGTAAAGAATATAGAAATTACCATCAGGTAAGCTGATAGGGAAATCAGTCCAGAGCTGGGGTCGCTCGGAAATAGTTCTCACAAAGTCAACCACTTCATCGGTAATTCCAATCATATCCTCCTCTTCTTCTTCTTCCTCCTCCTCCTCCTCGAGCTCCTCTTTCACTTCATCGTCCTTGAAATTCAAGAAATTGGAGGCAAGCTTCGATATCTCAGAAACAGCCTTGCTGGAGGACAACAAGGAGAGGCTCGATTTGAAGCTGTCTCCAATCTCGGCCAAATCACTCCTGATTCCGGAAATTGCTTGCGAGCTCTCTGACGCGGAAAGGCCGTCGCCGCCACCGGCGGAGGGAGAGCCCGCCGGAGGCGGTGCAAGGAAGGAAGCGACGCCGCGGAAGAGGGCGGGCAGGCTCGGATCCGGTGCGGAGGGGTTCTCATCGTCGTCGGGGGATTTAAAAGGGGTGGGAAGCGAGAACCAAGATGACATTCCTTTTTATTTATTCTTTTTAATTAGGGAGTACTACTGGTTCTTCTGCTTCTTTCCCAAGGCGAGAACTTAAAGAAAGACGTCAAAGTAGACGAAGTTCCTGTTCATTTGGACTCTTGCTTTTCTTTTCTTCATCTTTTCTTTCATTTTTTTTAATGACAATTCCATTATAGTGAGCAATACTTTCCTCGAAAAAATATCTGAGCAAAATAAAACACCCTGTTTTTAGGATTAGAAAAAAATTGAAAAAAACTAATTTTAAAAGTTAAGACTTTAAAACCGTAAATGCATTGTGCGCATCATGCTTAAAAGCTTTGTTCTAAATAAATTTGAACAAATTTTAATCATTTATCACATTAAATATTTTCTTTCTCCTAAGAACATTCTTGTGAATTTGATAGAGAGTCATTTTTAAGGAAGTGTAAAACAATATTTTGACTTTTGACCTTATAATTATGCCCTAGTTTTAAAAAACTAAAAAATCAGGTCATTGTAAAAATATCATACAGCCCACATTCCAACAAGAAATTAAGAAAAAGACTTAAGTAGAAGAAAAATATTGAAAAGATAATAAAATAGTAATTTCATATTTTATTCTCAAAATACAAGTTAAAATGCATATACAGTGTCATTAAGGACTATATACATTGCCAAAAGATATTATAAAATATTCATATACAGTGTCACATTAATATAAAATAAACTGTTATTTTGGAGATAAAAGCATATATGGAGCATTTACTTTTATACTTTTTTATATTTTACTCCTATTTAGGGTGATCTCCTTAATGCATTTCACAAGAAATTTTACGGAAAGAAAATTCATCAAAAGATTCATACAATAATCATTACAAATTTAAAAAGAATCACCAATAAAATTTCATTTTCTTATATCATAATCAGATCCACGAATCTTCGAAGAAACATAGGTCGGATCTAGATTTTGAGCAATGATTCAATTACACATGAAGAGAAGATAGATTGAGAGAGGGAGACGAAGAGTAGATTAGAGTCTGAGGGGGAGGCGACATATAGGATACCTAAATGTAGGATGATTGGTTTGGGGGAGTAAATATTGTAAGAGGTAGCACAGTCATTCTGCACCCTCTTTTAAGATGTGATAAGATATATAGTTTAATTTTTTAAGAGACTAAAAAAAGGATGTGGAAAATATGTTTAAGACGGAAGAAGTATAATACAATAAATTTATGATAGGTTTTCGCAAAATGAATCAAATAAGATTTGATGAACTTTTATTTGAACAAGATAAGCGAATTATTTTCGCCGTAATATGAATATCAGAAAATTTATAAGTTCTTCATTTTCTTCTGAGCCTTATTTTCATCATTTTTCTTGTGATTTGATTGAGTTTGTTGAGGTAACTATTAAAACCTCTTCCCAAACTACTCAACCCTGGCAGTTGCACTCCCTTATCAATTATTCATTCGCGTGCCATTGCCAATACGGGCTGATCTGCCTGATTGACACATAGCCCGCTAGTCCGAGGTATCTCACAAGCGTACGAAAGCTCGAGGTAGTAATAAGATCGAGTCAAATTCATAGCAACTTGGCAACTAATTGTTTAATTGTTTTTTAAAGTGAAAGTGTGTGAGTGCAAGCATACAAAATTAATACTCCCTACGTCCCTAAATATATTACAATTTTTTTCTCTCCTCTCGATAACTTTTGTTGGTTTATGCGATTTCATTAAGTATTTGATAAAATAAAATATTCTTATCACCTCTCGTTTTGTAGAACTTTTGACGTAGTATTTTAATATGTAATTTTTATATATCTTATTAATATACCAATTTGTAAATAAAATGATTTCAAAATGTAGGAAATTTTACTCCGTAACTCGCAATTTGTAATCAAATTGGGGACGGAGGGAATACAAAGATTGTAAGAAGTACCAAGGAGCTCGGGACTACCCAATTATATATAACCACGAGAGAATGATTAGCATCCACGTGTAAGTACCATTATGTCTTGCATAGGTCTATGGCCAATAGGGGTGTTCATCGGTCTAACACCAGATCGGACCGGACCGAACCGGACCGAAGACCGAAATATGCCAAAACCTCGACTGAAGACCGGACCTAAATAATCTCAGTTTTGGACCGGACCGGACCGAAATCACATGGACCGAACCGGGAAGACCGAAAAGACCGAATCCATGCTTATTACCTGGAAATCTAGAGAAGAAGATGATGGAGAAGGAGATTAGAGAGGGCTGTGTGGAGGAGTTAATCATACCTTCGCAGATTCGATTGAAGCCTTTCGAAACAAGAAAGAGATATGAAATCTGAAAATTGTCACCCGTCAGCCGTCGCCCGTTGCCTGTCACCCGTCAGCCGTCGCCCGTCTGAGAATCGTTGGCCGACTGTAATTCTGAGAACTTGAGAAGCATAGGCGGTTTGGAAACAAAGGTGTAAGGATGAAGGGTCACTGACGAATTTGGATGGGTGTTTGGGAATTTCCGAATCGGACTTTGTAGAGTGGACTCGACTTCTTCACTTTTGGTCAGCTGGACCGATTGAAAATTAAATGGTCTATTCGGTCCATTCGGTCCAGACCGATTGTGTATCGGGTTTAGACCGGACCGGACCGAAACCCGAAATGTTAAATTTATAGGACCGAAGACCGACCCGAAATCAATTCGGTCCGGGTTCGGTCTGGACCTATCGGTCCGGTTCGGTCGGTTTTTTCGGTCTGGACCTAAACATGAACACCCCTAATGGCCAACCCCATTGATGATCAGAATTCCAAGAAAAGGGGGCATCATTTTGGATTGGGATAAGTTTCTATCCCAACTCGATGTTTCTTCAACTAGAGCACATTGTATGCTTCACTGCTAGCTTCATCACAATACTCCCAAAGACCGCTAATCAAATTTTGTTGTCAAAATCAAAGCAAAAATAGCAAGAACACTTTACAATACTATTGAACTTGGAATCAAAGTTTAACGGCAATTACAACGACATAGTCTTTAACCTCGGGTGAGGAGTTTTGCCCAAAACATGACCGTAAAATTACTCTAGGGTACCTTCGATTTTCTGGTAATGACTTCCAGGTCTCACATTATATGAAATATACTCCGGGGTACCCTCAATTTTCTAGTAAGAACTCTCATGCCTCACATTGTCCGAAATATATACCTCAGGATCCTTAAAATTAGTGATATTGTACTTCGAGGTTACATTCCGTGCATTTAGGCGTTAAAATTGAAAGTTTTTTAACTTTGAAAAACTGAAGAATTTATTTAAATTTAAAAATAATAATGATTATGAAGCTAAAATTTAGTATTTTTTAAAGTACCCAAACTTTAATTCTAACCGTCAAATAGACGGAATGTACCGAAATAGTACATTATCACTAATTTTAAGGACCCCATAGTATATTTTAAATAATGTGGGATCTGAGAATTCTTACCAAAAAATTGAAGATGTCTGAGACTATATTTCAGATACTGTGGGACCTAAAAGTCATAACCTAAAAATCGAAAATACCCTTTCTAAAACATGACGCACACAAGCAAGAACAATGATATATGTCCTTAACATATTTTTAAATGCAAAAAAATGTTACCCCGAGTATTGTTTTAAAAATAAACATTATATTGTAGTTTTTGACATTAAATTTTGATGTCATATTCTGACATCGGATACCTAGAGTATTCCGATCAAAAAATTCATGATTCCTATCTCTCCAAAGCACCCCACACCTGCAAAATAGGAGCGAAGACCCCTTATTCGTTGGGACACAATTTCGCACTCTAAGGCGGTAGGTGGGTTAGGCATTAAAATGCTACAATTATGGAGTAAAATCTTTCTTTCTAAACATATTTGGGCAGTCAACATGAGAAAAGATAATTTTTTACTTTAAGTGGGTACACTCCCAATATTGGTTAATGACCCTGCCAACATCTAATGAAAATTGTATCCTATTGTAAATTACAGAGTATCTGTAATTATGAGACATTGTAATTACACATAAATATGATATATTTTATTATGAAATATAGACAAATCATGTTCATTGATACACCAAGGCACAAAGTACAATCATTTTACAAAAAATGAAACATGGGAATATTTATAGGGAAAAATAAATAAATAAATTGGCATAGACAAAAAATAACCCGCCTGAGCTAAAGCAGGGTATTAAAAAAAGGAGAATAAAAAAAAAGGTCTCACAAAGCATTATTGTGTGTTTCCATTGATGTAAAGAATCTCACTGTAACAAAAGAATTATTGAACAAATAATTTCATCCTACCTGCTGCAATGGCACACTCACTGTCCAAGCTCCTCCTCCTTCCATTATCGGTCGGCCAGTAAAAAAGATCGAGGCAGGAAACTGATCAAATGAGGCCGGCGTAAGGATTGATGTAGGACTGAACCGCAGCAGGACTATAGGGATTGGCACTTGCCCCAAATGGGTTGCCGAAAGGATTCACGGTCGGTTGCGGTTGTGGGCCCACCACCACCTGCGGTTGTTGCTGGAACATGAAAGGCTGTGGGCCCACCACCATGCTTGGGGCGTAGAACGAGTTGTGCACTGTTTGTGGGCCCACTGGCATTGCCGGTTGTTCCCATGGGTTGCTATTATTATAGCTCACATTTTGGTTGCTCCGTCTGATTGCATCATCATACAGACTGTCCAGTGTAAGTTTGTCTAGCCCTCCCGCCTTTTGCACAAACACAAAACGCAGGTTATCTTCTACTTTCATGTTTAAAAAAGGGTTGTGCTATTGTGGTCGTAAGGTCCACATATGAAACGTGAACCTTCAATGAGCAGGATGCTTTTTGCACCGCACCACCCTATATCAATTGTCTATAGTGGATTCGAATATTTAATCCCACTATCTGGATTTAGTTGTCCACTTCTTAAAAATATCATATTCAAGAAATGAGTTTAAAATGTCAAATAAGACACTGAAATGAATTTGTCACCCATTCATGTCAATGATACTAATATATACTACTCTACACTACCTACATCCCAAAATAAACATCCTAATTGGGTTTGGCTCAAAGTTTAAGAAAAATGAAATTGTGTGGTTGAAAGTGATGCAGCGGAGAGAGAAAGATGTTGGCCATACGAAATTTGCCAAAAATGGGAGGAGTCTTTTTTTGGGACAGAGGGAGTATATCTCAAGGATACTTCAGATTTCTCATCATGATTTCTCATCATGATTTCTTTATTAGTTATAGAATGTGGTCAATACCAGTTTGCTAGCGGTTGTGGAAGTCTCATTGGAGGTGGGGGCTTCTACGAATGCTAATTCCCAGCCTGTAACTCCGTTTGCCAGATTTGGACCGCCAGTAGAGTCAGGTTGGTTCATAGAACCTATAAAAAAGCGACAAAAGTTGGATTGAATGTAAGTTTAATGCTCAAATCTTATATCCATCCGATTTGTATGCGTGGCCTTTCCGGAAACATCTTTTTTGGCAGGTGAAGTTTGAAAGTATAGATCTTAACAGAACTTACCAACTGGAACCAAAGCTAAAGCATTGGCATTTTTCTCATCTAATTCGGCAAGAGCTGGAGCCGGATCATCCAGAGACTATAACACCAAGAAAAAAATGACATTAAATGCAAAGGCTTTATATTTTTGTTGATCCCTTCTTTCACTTGATCTATTGTATATATTGAGCAACTCTTACCAACAAATCCGGTGGTTCAGCCACAGGAGTTTCCACCTTAACAGGTTCTGGTATTGGTTCATGTGAAGGTGGGTCCACCTCTTTCACCTCCGAATCTTTCTTGTACTCTATAGGCAAGACCACTTTTTTATCTTCAATCGCCTATGTTTTTTAAGATTAAAAAACGTAAAGCTCTTATTTCTAGAGATATGAAATCCTAGATCTGCAAACACTTAGAGGGTTCTTCAGGAGTTGCACCAACCCATGGCCAAAACAATAAAGCAGCGTAGTTATGGTAATCCAAAATTAATTAACAACACAAAAAAACAGACTGGTTTAACTTTTTCCTTCTTGATTTTCATACGCCGATAAGAGCAGTGAAGAGTAATTCGCAATTGATAGAAGGGAGTGAATTAATAACTTACAGAATCCTTGCGAGCTGTAGAATACCGAGGTGCTTCTCTCACATAGTCCTCCATGGTTAGTAGAAAAGATCCAGGGGGCTTGAGAACAAATAATATAAACAAGGTGAGACTTAAGTTGAAATTCAGGGGAGAAAATATTCGAAAACCATTTTACATAAAAAAACATTATCAAACCTGCTCAATCTTGATAAATCTCTCTCCCCGGCCAGCGTCAAGATTTTTACATATCTCATAAAACTCAGAGAGTCTCTCAGCCTAAAAATATGAAGTTAAATATTTACAATGTCGAAATGGAAAAAAGTATATCCGAATGTACGAACACATATATGCTGGTACCTGCTGACCAGCCCTGCGGTATATATCCAAAGCCCTAAGAGCATCATTGCGTTGCATCTCAAAAAACTATAAGAATTGAAATATTAATTACCCGTTTGCCGTATATTAAAGAAAAAACAAGCAAATGGAAGCGTATACAGTATAGATAAATTTATAGTTGATATAAAAAGAGAGACTACCTTGTCAACCAAATTGACAGTGCCGTCACTTATAGAATTGTAAACTTTAATACTTTCAGAAGCAACCATGGAAAGTGCAAACTGAATCACAAAATTATGAATAGCTGCCCCTTGTGGCTGCAAAGAAATTCAGTAGAAGATTAATGAAAGGACTCAATTTTGATCTTATTTAAAATTTTGATCTTATTCGAAACTTATTTGTGCCTAGCTTATAAGTGTAATGAAAGGACTCAATTTTGGATTGTGACAGGACTATACGATTCAATTCAATTAATTGAATAGTTCAATTCAAGATCCTATTAACCTATCATTTTCGATCTCTATAACATGTTAAGTTTCTTGTTCAAATATTGACAACAACACCGGATGAAGATCATCAACTGCATAATGACCATATCAAATTATTACCTGACAACCAATAACACGATATAGAAGTTGCTGTAGGGATGGTAACTGCTCAAGCAAGTCCGGAGTGTCCAAATCTTTGGTTTTCTAAAGCATAGAATGAAACATTTATAAACAGAATGTAATAAAGAGAGCAATTCATCAAACATAAAATTTGGATCTTCCCAATGCACATTCATGTTTTCACACACCGTACGATCAGATTCCACATCATATTTCAGCACCCGAAAGCACTCCAGCCTCTCCTCCAAATATAATGCATAGGAACGCACCCACGCAGAGTAATCCCATGCTACAAAATGTATGAACAAATATACACTGTGAAGAACAAACCAAATACAACTTCTCCATAAACGCGAGAATAAGAAGCCCACCATTTGGACTCGAGTCATCCTTGAAATGAGACATGTTAAGCATGCGGTTCCGGCTCCGTCCATAGTTAATAAGTTCCTCATGGAATGTAGGGTCCACCTCCCGCAATGCACGATGGATAACAATCAATGTTTTCAGTGCCACCTGTAGGCGACATACAGTACGTGATGATGCAAGTACATTTTGATATTCAATAACCCATGGACCCCACACACATTTTACCCATAAACTAAATAATACTAGGGTAGTGCCCAGACTCTGAAACTTAGCCTAAAATTCCATCTTCCATAAAATTTAGAGAAGATTTTTTTTGATCTATAGAGCTAGGAATATATCGGGTTCATACCGCCCAATTATGTGTCTTGGAAAGCCGTCTTGCAAGAGCATGTATGCAGTATGCAACATCAGCTCGAGGCCGCGAGGCAGAAATAGCAGCAAAGATCGCTGGAACAATGAGATAAACATATTGCATCATGTCTGCTCTTAGGAGATTTACCCATAAATATGGTAAAATAAAATACATAAACAAGAACCACCTCTTATGTGTTTCTCTTTCGCTGGCCGCTCAACATGATTCGTTGCCCTAACAATAGCAATGTCCAACTCCTGTTGACAATTCGATCCCGGAAGAAAATAAAAAGTATCCAAATGTGATATAGACACGGATCTTTTAATAAATAAAGAGCAAGAGGTGTGAGAAAACAATGGAGTAATATATAGCACGTAACGAGTACCTTGTAATCGCTGTTAATTTTAGCTAAACTAACAGTGGTGGTATCCTTAAGTGCTCCGAGGGTTTTTCTCAAGCTGTTCTGTGTACCTCCTGACATTCTCTCTTCAAATTATAATCGGCAGCAGCTATCTAGTCTAGAAATACCAATGCCCACTTTGACAGTGTTAAATTCGATACATGAATGATGAAATTCTAGAAATCTATACATTTTAAGAGCAAAGATGCATCAATTTCTCTTTGGAATGATCATCAATCCAGCTGTCAGCTACCTCAAAACTAAAAAGAAAGAAACGATCACAAACAGAAGTTTGACCAATATGACTGATCTCGTTCCTTGCTGATTTGCAATCGCATAGAAAAACATAAGAGCAATAGAGAAAAAGTGGGTACAGATTACATAATCATAATAATCCTAAGAGGATCAAATTGAAGAGAAAAACACAGTCCCAGAGATCTAATGAGCCAAAACCCAATCTATAACACATTTTCACAGCTACCCATCAGTCTAAGATCAAGAAATATGAAAAGTTGATCTGCACATAGGGGGGGAGATCAGAGAAAGTGATTCAGACCTGACCGGAAACTGAAGCTTATTTCTCAAAAGAAAGAATTGAAAGACGAGCGAGGGAGAACAGAAAAGGGATGTTTAAGGAGGGGAGGAGATGAGCGGAGAAAGAGGGTGGGAACAAAGGATTCGTTTCTGGTGGTCTGTATACAGAAGAAAAGTCCCAAACAATGAGTTCATTTCGGTTGGCCGTCGGCGTCATTTGTTTATTCATTTTTTATTACTCCCTACTTTCACAATGGGTCCTTTCTTGCTCCCTCCTATTGTCTACGAGTTTGGTACCATATGGTACGGTATTTAGCTCGTATCGATACCAAATCAAATATTTCAATTCGGTATGAGATTTTACGTTGTATCGATCCCGATTCCAAAACATCGATTCGGTATGGTTCGGGATTGTTCGGTATCGATTTCGGAACGAATCGAGATGAATATATACGTACCTAGTTTACATCTAACAAAACCTTTTATTTTTGAAAAATTGAAAGTACATTTAACCAAAGAAAGATAAAAAAAATTAAAAATGAAAAAATAAAATACAAGAAATGCTTATGAAAGTTAGTTTATATTTCACAAATTAAAGAAAACAAGTGATAACAAAGTATTATTTTAAATATTTGTTAATATTCTTATACTCATCTACAAAAAATAAAAAAACTCTTATTATAGTGCAACTTAAACATAATGAAATTAAACTAAATTGTCTATATAAATTTTTTATTTAATGAAGAAATATAAAAAGATTATTATTTTTATAATATATTAGTATATATGTTCAGTTCGGGAATTTCGGTATGGGAAGTAACCTCGTACCATTACGGTTCGGTTTCTTTTCGGTACTTTATCGGTTCGGTATTTTTCGGTTAGATTTTTTTGGGAAATATCGGAATCGATTCTGTCCTTGCTCACCCCTAGTCTACCACATCCTCATTTTCTTTTAGCCTCATTTCAAATAGAAATCACTGAAGATAGGATTAAAATATAGAAAAAAGTATTAAAATAAGAGTTACATATTTTTTTCCTTATAATAGGACTTGGAACTGTGGTAATGTAGTTGTAATGTGGCACTATACATGTGCACATTACTATACTTTTTGGTAATGTACATACATGACTAGGTTTGGTAATGTAAATACATTTTAACTCCTATTTTGAGAATAAAAACATTAAAGTCCTATTTTGGTATATTTTCAATGTTTTTCTCATACTTTAGTTTTTTTCCTCATTTCGAAACACTAGCCTACTCGTTTGTATTTTTGTTTCTTTTATATTATTCATCATTTTAATTAAAAAGTTAAATAAAGTTAATAAAAATATTTATTTAGTAATAAAAATAGATGAGTAACTATTAAAAAATAGAAATGAATGTAACAGCTAAAAAATTAAAAATAAACAAAAATCACATTAACATTACAAAATATTACATTAGTAAAATGGAAATTTAACATGCTTAACATTTAAATTAAAACTACAAATACTAAAAAATAAAAAATGTGCTTGGAAAATAAATAAATTAAAATATACTACTGATTTGCCCTACTTATCATGGCGTAGGCAACCACAGTCATGTCCTTGTGTATATTCACTTGCAACTCCGACATCTCCGACGTATCCATTGCCATGAGTGCCTTGAGGTTGTTCATACTCTCTAAGCTACTATTCATTTTGTCCAACGCCATGTTTGGGGGTCAGGATGTCATGCTAGGAGCCTTCCCCTCGCGTTCTTTGCCTTCGTCGTCTCGATCGGACGACTCTGGCCGCTAGGTAGGTTCCTTGCTTGAGAACGCGGAGAAGTCGTCCCCCGTGGTGTTGAGGTCGATGGACTACCCGCCCCCGCTCGTCGAGTACGAATCAGTCCATGAGAGTTTGGATCGCTTTGGCCCCGATCTTCCGGCGTCCACCTTAACACTGAATTTAGGCATCTTCTACATAAGTTTATAAATATTCTAGAACTTGAAAACCTTATTTTCCGCTTGATAATAAAGATTTGACGCCTTCAAGAGAATGTCGTCGACGTTAGACCCACTAGGCCACGTCTTTAGGACGTTGGTGTACAAGTCACTAAACTTTTGGACTTTTGGGGGCACACCCCCAGTGTTTTCAACACATCTCCCCATCACGTTCGATTGTACCATCAGGCCTCCCAATGTTGTACTTTTCTGCAACACGCTCCCAAAATATTTTGCATTTTCAGGAGATGTCGATGATGGCATCCTCCGACCCGTCGATGTAGAACCTCGCCAACGCCAGACTTTTCACTGGGATATACTTCTTCGGTCTGTCATTCTTTTTTGTCTTCCCTTTGCTAATACCCTCGTTGATGGGCTCCAACTTAAAAATGTCGTAGTCAACCATATTATGACCGACAATTCGTAGACACTATCGTTGGAGTTCGAGAACAGGGCAAAGTCGTCACCCACTCTTCCGGTGCGAAAATTAGTAGAGTTTGCAGATTTGATGACAGTATTAAGGTTAGAATCCTCGAAAAGGAAGTTATTGCCGCCGAGATTCATATTTGGATAGTGAGATGAGACAGAGATGAAAGTAAATTGAGTGAGATGAGAGTGGGTGAAATGAAATAGGAGATGTGGTGAATTTATAGAGTTGAAAATTAAAATAAAAAAATAGTGATGTTAAAACAAAAAAAAAGAAAAAAAATTAGACCGCCTTGCGCACCGTACGTCTACCATGGACGCTGTCGCACCCTTCTCACCTTTATGCATGCCCCAAGCCTGGCGCACGCCGCATTAACCTCGTGCCTGTTGCGCTGCAATAGAGCCCCACCGCGCGCTCCGGGCCAACTAGCGGCACGATGAGTTTTTTTGCTAATATAAGTGCTCTTGTTGCCTCTTTGAGTATTTGTGATTTTTTGTAGTTCACCGAAATCAAACTTTGACATAAAATCAAATAAAAATTATATGATATACCACTTAGATAAGCTAATATTTTAGAAATATCATACAAAATATAAATCTAATAAATTTATTCTTGTATCAATATTTAGAATAAAGAGTAAATTGCCAAAATGGTTTCTTAATTAAAGTGTTTTCCCAAATTAATCCTCAATAAATAAAAAATTACCTGCATGATCTTTTATAATTTGGATTTATTCCCTAAATGATCTTCTACAAAAAATGTCTATTAAATGACAGTTAAATGGATAGTACTTTTATATTTTCTATCATGTAAATTATGAATAAATTTTCAAAATTGTCTTTTCAAAATAAATAGGTGGCTGCTAGAGGAATGCACCCAGCCAAGTAGGCTCGTGCACTCTAGTTCAGAAAAAAATTACTTAAAAATTATGAGTTACAAAAAATACTTAATTATAAAGGAGCAATTCAAGAACATACTTTAAGTATTGATGATAGAAAATAAAAAAAAACATTTTATTTGACAGACATTTGAAAGACTTGTTTGGTAGAGAACCATTTAGGAAATAAATCTAAATTATAAAGGATCGTGCGGGCAATTATTCCTTATTGGGGACTAATTTAAGAAAACATCTTACTAGAAAGGGCCTTTTTGGGAATTCACTCTAAGATAAATTTTATTTAATTAATGGTCAAAATTTATCAATTTTGACAAAAAAAGTCAAAGCTTAACAAATACTTAGAGACCGACGAAGTACATATTTACATATTCCCTCGTCTTACAAATATTACAGATTGTGCAAAACGAAAAAAGAATCATTTTAGTTCAAATAGAAATAAAAATTAAAACTTACATATTTAAAAATTATATTAACAGTTCTACAAAACAAGAGGTGGTAAACATATTTATTTTATCAAATAAACAATAAAAATATACAAATAAACAAAATTTATCATTTTTCAATATTGCTGATTGTAATCAACAGTGGGACAACGCGAGTATTTGGTCTCAAAATCACAATATCGTACTCAATCGTTCTAAATAAGGTTTTTAGTTATTACGGAGTATTTAAATACTAATATTATATATTTTATTTTATAAACATTTCATTTGATCACTTTGTAAAATACGGTAATTTATTTGCGCTTGATTTGCATAACTTTTTATATAAATTCTAAACATATATTTCCTCTGTGCGGTAAAACTCTTCTTGTTTGATTTTACACATTCTTCTATTTAACAGTTGGAACACTATTAATTATATTTATACATAGATATATTTTATAATATTCTAATTTTTTTAAAATTACGTTTCAAAAAAATTCACTACTACATAATAGGGCCTTTTCTACAAATACTAGTGATGTAATTACTCTAGTGTAATTGCATCGATTGTACAATAACCGATGCAATTGGTCTTTTCTTTTGCCAAAAAGGGCTCTGGTATCCGTTATTCTAGAATAACTTATGTCAAAGCCTTTTTATTTGAATTAAAAAATAAATGGACTTTAGCATCGATTATTTTATAAGAATCGATGTCAAAGCTCTTATACTTTCATTTTTTTAATGACATCGATTCCTCTGAAATAACTGATGTCAAAGCCTAATTATTTTTCTTAATTAAAATAAAAAGGCTTTGACATCGTTATTAGAGAAAAACTAATGCCATTCCATACTGAATATTTTGAAATCCTAAAAAGTATGTTTTAACATCGCTTATTTTGAAATAACTGATGTTTCTGAGTAATTTTTTTTAAAATAATCTGCGCAATACCCTCAAAAAACACTGCACTTCAAAATGCATATATATGGAGCAGTACAAAATAAATAACATTGAGCTTCAAAATGCATTAAAATGTTACACCAATAACATACAATTACACATAGTAATTAATAAACAACGGGTCAACTAAATACTGCACCAACATGAAATTTAAAATGTAAAACAATGGCTAATTAACTTACTCATCAAGAAAAGTGTTTGCCACATCTCTCGTAGCTCATCAAGCTCTTCTATCGAGAACGAAGCAGAAGAGCTGAACATGTTGACCAAATCTTCAACATAAAATATAAATCAAGAATTAAATTATGTGCACCTAATAATTCTAAAAACGTATTAGGGATGAGGTCATGATTATGATGTAGTGTGTTATTATAATCCTGGAGACGAGTTGAGACTCATGAAAACTGTACTAGAGAGGAAGAGGAGAGGTGTGAGATGGTGTGTTAACATCGCCTAATGACCTCTTTATATATACACATACGGGGAAACTCTAATTAGACCGTAAGGATAATAACGTCCATCAAAAAATTATTAATTAAGCATGTAGAGTATTTATAAGGTCAATGATTACTTATTTATATAAAAGATAACTCTGGTAACATAATAAAGACAGTGTCTTACATTCTCCTACTTGGTCGTGAAATTATTTATGATGAGCATTATGTAAGTCTCGTCGGATTTTACTACTCATTTTAGTTTTAAAGCAGAACTGTAGCAGAACAATACAATCATTGAATCGATATTCAACTCAAGACCTCCATTAATCATACTACAATACCAAATTTAAAACTTAAGTAAGCTAGGGATCAAATTGACAATTAATCCCTCAACATAACATTGTATAACTCTTGTATACATTTCTTTACGCTTGCATAGGCATATTCATAGACAAACAATGAGAAAATTTTATTACTTCAAAAGCAAGTTTTATATGCAACTAAATAAGGTCTTTAGAAAAGTCCATCTCCGAAACATGTTCTTCCAAAACTTTAGGAGGGACATATTTAGCCATCAGATCCACAAACATACTCTTAGTACTTATATATATACAAAGTTTACTTTCCTCAACTCGTTCAGGTACGAACAAGTACTTTTTATCAAGATATAAAACAGAGCCAGTCGAACTGTAGGATCAATAAACTTTCCAGCATCCATTTCTGCTTCGATCACTTAGGTAACATAATCATCTAAGTTAGTATTCCTTTTGGACCTTGATAGTCGAGTTTTAGCGATAATCAACCTTCTCAAAAAGGGTCAATTTTCTTTGTGTGTCGTGTCTTTTGAAGAGTAGACGAAGGGAATTAACTATTTTTTCTTAGGACAGGTATGGATGTCTTCTCGGTTTGACTTGTGCAAAGGTAACTATATTCCCGAACACTTTTGTCGAGAATAAATTAAATAGTACAAATATAGGACTACACTTTTGGCCAAGACATCATACGGGTTAACTAATGTTGTCACATATTGAATTTAATTTGGAATTATAAAATTCCTGTCACAATATTTCATTAACTTATCCTAAGTTGACTTAATTAATTTTATGTACTCATATACAAGACAAAAATTAATTTCCAATAATTAATTAATGAATAAATTCCTAAAATGGTCCTTTCTAATAAAGGTTTTTCCAAATTACTCATTAATAAGTTATTATTATTATTAATATTATTATTATTAATTACTCCGTATTATTTTTATTGTTAATCATATTAATAAAACAATTTTTTAATTTCAAAAAAATTAATTTTTAATTAAAGCTTAAAAATATTTTTAACCTTCTTAAATATATCATACTAAAATTAGTTTTTAATTAAATAAATTTTTTAATATAAATATATCATACTAAAATTAATTTTTAATTAAAGCTTAAAAATATTTTAACCTTCTTTTACGCAAGTAAAATATTGGAAATGGGAAAAGGTCAATGGAAGCATACAAAGTAAAACAATAGAAGAAAATAAAATAATAAGATGTAAATAGTAATTATTACTCTTATTTTTATTAAAAAATAGTAGTAAAACTAATAATTAATTTTTAATAATAATAGTAATAATTATTAATAAAAATAATATGGAGTAATTGATAATGATAATAATAATAATAATAGAATAAGAAGGAAATAATAATAAATATGAAGTAAAAAAGAATAAGAATGGTAAAACTACTAATTAAATTTTTTATAATAATAATAATAATAATAATAATAATAATTAGTAACAAATAATAATAATAATAATAGGTTAGAAGAAAAAAAAAGTTCAAAAGAAAAAAGAGAAGAAGAAAAAATGGCAGGATGGGGGCTGGATAATTAAGATTCAAAGGTGGAGGAGGAGGATGAGAGGAAAGAAGAAGAAGAAGAAGATTGAAAATGGGGAATAAGGAGAAGTTAACGGAGAAGGGAGATTTACGGAGAAAGTGACGAAATGTCACCCCAGAGTAGCTTTTTTGATATTTTAAGGTACCCCGGAGTACATTTTAAAAAATAATGGGACCTGACAGTTCTTCTCACAAAATCTAGGGTACGCCGCAGTAATTTTTTCATGTCTTTTTCCAATGTAATACTTAAACTTTTTGATTTCCTAAATAATACTTGAATACTCCCTAATTGGGTAACTAAGCTGCACACATGGGTTTCTAGAAGTATTGTTTTCGATTGCGACAAGGTCTTCATTAGCATGTCTGGGCATGAGTTGCACGCCTCAATGTTATGACACTCAAGCATAACAAAGCTTTCCATCATCAAATGGAGGTCATGAACCGTAAATTGGAGCAATCTTTGAGGGATTTCGTCCATGCCTGGCCTAGGCGTTGGATGGTGCTTTTACCATGGGCTGAATACTCGGTGAACACAAGCTATCAGGAGAAATTAAAGATGATGTCCTTTCAGGCAGTTGTTGGTCGTCCTCTGCTAGACTTGGTACAATACCATCGGGATGAGAATCGTACGTGTTCCTATAGTGGACAACATTCTAGCTGAAAGGGATGAACTTTTGCGCCGCCTGTGTGTCAATCTAGAAGCAGCACAAAATTGAACGTCGATGGTAAACGTCGCGAGGTGGCTTATAATGTTGGCAACTGGGGTCTTGCATAAGTTGCATCCTTATTGCCAACACTCTATGGTTCTTATGACTTCTTAGAAAATGTCCTTGTGTCTCAATAGGCCATTGAAGGTTTTGGAGCATATAGAGCATGTGGTGCACCGTTTGAATTTGCCTGAGCGTCCTACATCCATCCGATATTTCATGATTCGATTCTCTGGTATTTTTGCGATTCAAATACTACAATTACCACCCTTCCATTTTTCACAGCTTGGTCGATGTCAGGTCCCATTTTTCCCTCTCATGATTCACGCGTTGTGCCGCACCCTATATAACATGTCCTCAGAGTAACGGGTTTTTTTAGTTGAATTGATAGTTCATTGCGCGATCCAACTTGGTGCCCTTAACTCTATTCCACCAACATTTTTTACATTTATACCGTACTAGGTGATTCTTCAATGCGATGGGAGTGTTATGGTTCCACCCCCCACAAGAGGTACGACGTGAAGATGCTGGTACGGAGACATGCAAACAACAGTGCACTCGGGCAAGGGAGCACCCGAGGGGGTAAAAGGACTTCAAGATGCAGTAGCCGCATACTCCATCCAGATTTAATAATATTTGCATTTGACTTTTCTTAGTCAAAGTTTATAATCTTTGATCTCAATTTGTGGAAAAAATATATCGTGTTTGATATAAGTGTAGTATCAATAGTTTCTTTATGAAACGTAGTTTTAAATATTAACCTTTTATAAAATATAACAATGTATAAATTCTAATATTTATGGTCAAAGAGTTACATTGGAAACCGTGAAAAGTCAAGAAAGATTATTAAATCTTAACGGAGGGAGTATTTATTTATGAATTCATTTAATTTTTATTGTAATCTACAATAAAAGTCATGAGAAAAAGTCACTTTGGTGTCATGAGACTATCTACAGGAGTTTAATTCAAAGAGGAATTTACCTAAATAGCACTAGAACATAATGACTTTCCTTGAATAGCATTACATATGTTTTTTTCTCAATGTAGCACTTTTAGTTATTATCCATTAGTCATTATTCAAGTAAATGTTTGCTATCACTGGTCATTATGGACATTATAAAGTGCTATTTAGGGAAGAAAACAATCTAAGTGCTATTTAAAGAAATGACTTAAGTTTTAGTGCTATTTAGTGCAAATATTTCTTAATTCAAAAACTTTCTACTAAATTTGAAATGGAGCAGTTTAGGATTGCTACCGAAATCGAATTATGACCGAACTTGACAGAATGATATTTATGAAAAATAAATACTCCTCCATCTTGTGCCAAAAGGCACACGTTGACTACTTGACATTGTGGAGATTAAAGAAAATATTATAGTAAGTGATTGAAAGAATATAGAGAATGTGTAAAAATGTTTCACAAACAAAACAGCTTCATAATTTTCAACGCAATTCGCATGCTTTCTGCAAGTTTTTCATAAAATGCCACTGGAAAAACACACTAATCCTCAGAAGATTAAAGTAATACCACTGGAAAAACACACTAATCCTCAGGCAGTTACATAAGCAAGTACAGTGAGAAATGAATTCATTGGCCAACACTTTCAAGATTAAACAAAAAGCAGTGATTTATTAAGGTTGTACCCCCCAAAAAAATTAATTAAGGTACTCAGTCTATAATTAAGGTTGCACACTACAAGTTACAAGATGACTAGAAGTTACAAGATGAGTACCTTTCCTGATGGCATGCCATATAAGAATATCACTCAGCTTATTCAATGAAAAACGAATCAATGGGAGCAGATTTTTTTTTTTGACATTATAAAACAAAACAAAACTGGTAAATGCTGGCTACAACACCATCTACTGGAAAATTCTCCCTCTAATGCTCTTCTTTAAAGAGAAATTGAATTTGGGGTGGGTGGGGGAGGGGGTGGGGGATAATTTCAAGATCTTTTCACAATTGCAGTGGTGAAGTATGGGTGGTGGTTGAATTGGAAGTAAACCTTGAGTGATGAGTCAAGAGTACCTAACCTGCCGATCAGATTCATAGCGACATTGTTGTGTTCTGCAACGTGTTCTATTGATTTAAGCTCTGCCATTTTGATAGGATCATTTGAAAAACAGCTCCTCAGCTCCTTTGAGAGTCTTTGGGCATCTTTGAAGAAATTATGCATGGCGAGAGTCTATAAAATGAGAAGAAGCAGTGTAAGGCCACAACACAAGTCAATCTATAGGATAAAACACAATATTTATGGGAAAGGACGCTCACGGATATACGAGCATGATCTGTCGCTTCCTTGAAAGAACAATACGATATGTGATCGGGAAGGCATGCTTTTTGTAGAAGCTCAAAGTGCTGCATAAATCTCTGCACAAAATGTGAAACTGGTAAGTACGAGATTCACAATAAATGTGTACCATGACTAATGGCAAAGACGCCCAAGAGGAGCATAGAGCCTCCAGATAACATCTGCAAGGGAAAGCAAAAATATGGCATGCAATTTTGCTTAAAAATCCATGACTAATGGCATACCTCGTGCTCTGTGTTGAAAGGTCCCACATTCTGATAGATTGTTATTTCATTCCTCAAAGCTGCAAGCATCTAAGTAACCAAGGCATCATTCAAGCAGTTATACATCTTTCTCTCTCTCTCTCTCAGACTCTCTGGAGAAAAACTAATGACCATTACCATTGTAAGACCTTCAACTATGTTTAGCTGGCATTGGAGAAACAACACAACTGGAGGAAGTGGATGATCTCTTGCCCCATTCTTCATCAAATCACGCTTCTTCCCTTTCCGCTTTACTGGTCATTAAACATCACCCGTACGAGAAAGATTATAAAAGCACTCTGAGTAATAAAAATCATCCAAGTGTACTAAATTGCATAGTTGATTTTTCAAAAGAAAAGGATTTTGTTACATTTAAATATAAAATAGATAAGAATGTATTCATCCCGAATTGTACCGAAAATGAACCATCCTGACCAATAATTTAGGATCGAGATCGGTATGACATGAAAATCCATACCGAATACCATCTCATACCGTATCATGCTCACCCCTATATAAAACCAAAGAGCAAAAGGGCAAAAAAAATCCTTGCAGAAAGCCAGAAACGGCAGCAGTGGAACCAGCATGGATACGGTGGTCCAATTCATGGTCCAGCAACCAGACCATCCCTTCAAAATGATCGACTGAAATAGACCTAATTTGCAGAACATTAACAAACCGGTCGAGGCACTGGACCAACTCTACCCAACCCCCCCCCCAATCCCGGGTATGGGTTTCACTATCGATCCTTTGTACCGTTCGGATGAAAGGGTAGCCAGTGACTAGGTTTATTGGAGATACAGAAGTTTCTACCTAATTTCCTTGCTATAGTTTAATTAGGAGCAATATCTTTTCCAATCAATCCCAAGTCTTTTCATGGGATATTTAACACCTTTGATTGATATGCAAAACTATGTTTGGTAGATGAAGCTAAGGAAGATTTCCATGATTTATTTGAAGAACTTTTAACTAGGTAATTGCCATTGTCATTACATGGTAATTAGGAGCTATGTTGCACGGATTCTTCAAATAGGTGCCGCTTCTCGTCCTTGAAACATCCCCGGTCGGGTACTTGGGGCGTCCCTACACTCAAATCTTTTATAAATTATTAAAAAAATTGGCATTTCACGCTTCCGACCCCGTCCCCGTATAAGTCCTTGTCCCCGTCTCGGTGCAACTTAGATTAGGAGACAAGGATGGATCAAATGGGATAATTTCGCTTTCACTTGGCATGGATGGAGAACAGCATCTTTGAAGAATCAATCAAGACATTAAATTGATTAAATTTCGATGTATGCATGTTTTAATTAGTTTGTAGCTTAGTGATAATTATACCTATAAATGGGTCGCATTTCTTCATTGTAAAAAAAAGTTTGGATTTGAATTGAAATATAGGAAGCGTTCTTCTTGGCCCTTGTGGTTATGAGATTTGTGAGAGTTTCAACTTGTGAGTTGTAATATTACTAAAATCACACCTTGTGTATTGCTACAGAGTGTCTCGTAGAGGTGCAGGAGTTATAAACTTTAGACTTTTAAAATCACTCCTTTCGTGTTGCTACAGCAACGTCTCGTAGAGAGATTTTAAATTCATTGGGACCTGAAATATCGGCTGGCGGTGTTGGTTACGGGTTACCATGGTGTGTCGTGTGGCGACCGCATCATTAATGGCAGCACTAACTACAGGTTCAGAGGGTGGACTGTGCATTGGGGATTTTCTCCCCAGTCAATGGCTAAAATAGAGAGGGACAGTCTGTGACCATGCTCGTATCTTTTACTAATACTAAACTACTTGTTTATTGTTTAACTTATATAAAATTATAAATATGCTAAAGAGCCCTATAACAATTGGGATCCTAACCCTACTGCTAATAGGAGTACTAATACTATTAATACTACTAATAGGAATACTAGTACTACTAATATTTGGGAACCAACTAATTGTAAAATTAAAATATTCAACTAATAATACCGAACTAATCATGACGAAAGCATTCTGTCAATGAGGTGGTATCTGGAAATTTGGAATGTAAGGAGAGTGCAAGTAATATCACTGAAATGACAGTTCGTGATGATATGCACAAAATTCTTTGGTATTATCGCAACAAATCTTATTGATACAATGCCCAAACAGCATGTGAATTTTGGAAAACTCTTTTGGAAGATATGATTCAATATATAATTTTCTTCACATAAAAATAACTCTGTATCTTGAAGAAAAAATAAGACAACGGAATACCAAAATCCTCATATAGAAGACTAAATATGGACCCCAAACATGAGTATGAAGTATGAACTATGTTGAATAGGGAGTTAGGGACAGAACCTGTTTATTGGCCCTTTTAGAAAGGACTAACTAAATTGATGTCCAAGGTAATGCAATTCACAATCTAATGATGAAAGATTTGATAAACCTGAGACCATATATGATATGTCAAAGTGTAGAAAGACTCGACTAGCCAGGAAGTTATTTAGAGTAATTGTTGGCACAAAAGATACATTAGAAACTGAATCAGAAGGATAAAGTGATGAAGGTCACGGATTAATGTTTGACATCAATCATCTTCCTAGTATAGTGGTTCTGTATCACCAGAGTCAGCAAAAGAGATTATGAAACACATTATAGGGAGCAAGTCAATTTGCTAACAAACACAAAGTTAGAATGACTACTAGGAAAATATAGGACTTCTGATTCCAATGGTAAGAATCACTGCGGGAAAGCCAGTGCTTAAAGGCCATTTCAGAGAGTGATGTAGAGTAAACGTTGGGGTTTGAATATATAAGCAGCAGATAAGAATTGCTATAGATATGATTAGATGCACCATAATCAATGTTCCACAAGGTAGATATGTTTGACACACATTGTAAAATAGGTGAAGGTGGAGTAACGAGTGAGATTATGCAACCTCTCATATTCCACATATTCAATTTGAGAAACCAGAACGAGAGATGGCAGGTTCTGGATTCTGAACAAGATTGGATTAACGTGGAGGTCTCATGAGCTTCCAAGTTCCAACCCTTATCCTTCGTGTGATCAATTTTGGGTCAAGGATCACATGTAGGACGCCTCCATAAGGGGTTATTTCATATTTGTGATTGCTTTCTTCCAGATTCTGTGATGCAAAGACAATAGTTCCATCAGAAGATTGTCCAACAAACATTGGGGCTACACGAAGGACTCTTGTGACCAGTCATGAATGAGATAGTGGAGATAAAATTTGCTCACGAAGGACTCCAAAAAAATTCTTTATATGTTCAATATGACTAATATGAAGGGCATGGAATGCCACATTACATTGCATAATAAAGAATCTGTGTTCTCCCCCTCAGTTTCTTATCTTCGATACCAACTCCCACACAGTTTTCTTATCATTGATATCAACATCTTCAGTCAATCAATCAGTATAACCATTACCTTTGAACCACTTCTTCACAGAACACCCCCATGAGGTATAGTTAAAACTTTTCGCCAATCGATTGGAAGAAATAGTTTGGACGGTTACAAAGGAAAAACAGGAGGCAATCCTAGGGGATTGAGGAGGAAGTCAGAGATTCTATTCCAAACATTGCAGGTCAACAATGACATGAGGTCAATAGTGGCAGCACACCGCACACGGCACTTTAGATGGTGTGTGCCGACGCGTGGAGAGGCAGATCAGCACCATAAAAAATGGTGGTAAGGTCAAGAGTCACATGGTGGTAGATGTCTTGACCCTGAATAAGCAGTAAGAAAAAAGGCAAACAGTAAATTGCCTTCTTCTTTGTTAGTAGGTGTGACTGGAGTACTGGCATTGAGTAACGACAAGTCAGCAAATGTGGTGGTGACTTCAGATCAAATCGATCACGACCACAGATGTCAAATAATACAAAATCTACTACTCACTCCAAAATAAAAAACTATTTCCTGATGATAATTTGCAAGAAATATAAGGTTGATACACCCAAGTATTCTAAGTCAATCCAATGGCATCACACTCCATGTAGATAAGAAGAACTCCATCAGAAATAAACCAAGGCTACCTCACCCTGAAGTAGGGTCTAGACTCTAGAGGGGACAAGAAGTTTCGTATAGACGTATACACCAAGTGGCAATGAAGACTTCAAAAAAACCCTCCAGCAATCCGTAAAGAGCATGTGAGTGTGAGCCCTCGCAGACCGGATGTGCATTAATTGCATCTATCACAACTATGGTCCTGGGGAAAGTTTAGGGCCACTATGTCCAACCTCATTTGCTCATCTCATGTTGTCTTTTATTGGCTCGTCTTGTCCTCTCAACCAAATCACTATCCTCTCTCCTAGTCTCCTTCACCAGTAATAGGTGTGACTCTTAACTTCACCAAAAAGACCATATTTCGTACTATGTCCAATATGGCACAACTACATGTCCACTATAACATATGATTATGTGCCTCTATTGCCAACACTCAAACCTATACAACACAGCTTATGGGATGGCTACCTCGTAAAATGTTCCCCATGGCATTCTTGTGTTATGGATCAATTTATAGGTATACAGTATCAAAGCTGAAAGAAGTTCAATGGCCCAGGCTAGCCAATGGGCTCAGTATCTTCTCATTCAAGTTCCTTTTAGTTCATGTTGCTTTTAGTTTAAGTTCTAGTGTTGTTCTTAATTATTGTTATATCTAAATTTTGTGGGTGAGTTGCATTAGGCTATCCTCCACCCTCACCAGAAATCCCGGACTCCCGGGATGTTGGCTACTTGCAGCGCCCTTAACATATTGCATCATAGCACTCTCATAGCAGTCCTCCATTTTTAACAACTGTGCCGTGTCGTGTGTCTTTATACAGTGTGTGATGTCATCCTCAACTTCTGCCTTCTTTCTGGATGATAGAACCCAAATGCTTCAAATTCTAATCCTTGCCTTCTGTCTTCTTTCAGGATGATAGAAGCCAACTACTTGAAATTGCCATTTTGCATTACTCTTTGACCTTTTCACCCCCCAATGATCACGTATACCTACTCATCAGTGTTTCTTGCTATAGTTGAACAAGAAGCCTTCAGCCTTAAAATGGATAATGTGCTATTGAGCACGCCTGGTGCCACCAATGTTGTCATCCTGTGCTCTCGCTTGGCCATCATCCTTTCCCGAGTCTCAGCCAGTGCAATCTTGTCTGTAAATATCAAACACCATGGGATGTTCTTCTGGAACCCTATTAAAATCAGCTAAAAATTACAACAAAGAGAAACAGCTATACCACTAATCCCTGTTGAAACTCTATTTCTACCGAACCAAGAAAGAATCTCTGCCCCACAGGGATCCTAACACAAGTCCTTACTCGCACGTACAAATCATGCATCACTCTCAAGTACATCCATGATCCATGACACCTCTCTAACCTCCAGGCTCCTCCAAATCACTTCATTTCGGGTGATAAGCCTTCTCCATATCTATAGACACAACGAGGTATACAAATGCTTATTTCTGATTACATTTTGTTTTTTATTATACCACTAAGAAATGTGTCTTAAGGAAACCGCCTCCTACTGCCAACTGCTACATTCACATACTTTACAAAACACACAAAGAAAACCCAAACAAAGGCTTGACATAGCACGAAAACCATAGAAAATAGAGAAAAACCAGAGCAGCTTACCATTTTCGTTGCTTGCCATCAACTTGGCATAGGTTTTTTCTGCAAGCTTGACTAGGATAACATATATGTACCAATACACCATACAGAATTCACTCGTAGAATATAGCTCAAGATCAAATCCCAATAAAAGGAAACGGTAGGCTATCCGGTATGTTTGCTCCTCTATCCATACCAGAATGTGCTTAAATATCTTCGCGCACATATTCTGCAGAAAAGCAAGATATAAACAGTGATGCACAATTAATCATTTGGAAACTAAATTTTAAAATTTCATTCTGATAAGTTTGTTGGAAGAATTCAAACACTGGGAATGTCATGAAGCAAACAAAAACATACTAAAACCTCTTTATAGACTGGAAAACATAACCACATTGGGGCAAATGGTCAGATGCATAATTTCACCATAATTCTTATACTCCACACAAAGGCACACCCATGTGAAGTCCCATATATTTCAGGACCCTATGGATTTCACATAAAATTATATAATGTGTGTGTGTGTATCAGGTATGTATTTTTAGTTAAAGTTTTTCTCTAGTGTGTAACATTTACAACGTCAGCTCCCTAGTTCAAATCTGAAAATATACATTTTGAGTATTTGACACATCAGCACAGTTTAAGGAATAAAAAATGCTTTGAAGTGGTAAATTTCATAAACCTTAGCAGCTTAGCCTCTAAACAATGTATAAGACTATAAGAGTAAGATGTATAGTTTTACACAAAACTTAATTTCGTTCTGCGAATAATTTACGAAGTACGCTTTTCGGGAAAAAATTGCTTGGACAGACTTATTGACATCTATCATATTTGCACAAAAAATTTTAAAATGAATAAAGTACTTTTAAAAATTATTTCCTTATTCACAAATGAATTTATAAGTTCAATAGTAATTTCAACATGATTGTTCGTTTAAATTTTCTGTTTACGGTTAATGGTGTGCATATCTCTACATTCCTTGCTACATGAATGTTTCTTCTCATAATCATGTACATAAAAGTTTGGTTTCAATTTTAATTTAATAACATTAAATAAGATTAATATAAAAAAACACAAGGATAATATAAATCAAAACTTGGGCTCCATTCGGTTTCCTCTGGTATGGTATGCACAGGTGCATGAGAATATCATACCCATCTTGTTTCATTACTAGCATTCCTTAAACAAACTCGATCTTTAAACCCTCTCAAAGTCATGCCCCAATAGTCCCAACCCCTCTGGCTTGGCCCTACATCAACCTCACCTCCAGGGCCGGTGTCCACTATTGCCGGCAACTCTAGAAATCATCAAGGATAATATAAATCAAAACTTAGGCTCCATTCGGTTTCCTCTGGTATGGTATGCACAGGTGCATGAGAACATCATACCCATCTTGTTTCATTACTAGCATTCCTTAAACAAACTCGATCTTTAAACCCTCTCAAAGTCATGCCCCAATAGTCCCAACCCCTCTGGCTTGGCCCTACATCAACCTCACCTCCAGGGCCGGTGTCCACTATTGCCGGCAACTATAGAAATCATCAATAAAGAAAATTGCTAACGCGTCAATAGTCGAAGATGAAATAGTGGTTCAGCCTGTAGTTGAAGGGGGTATGTGAAATCCAAAAGAAGAGATGAGGAGAAGGGAGGGCGAAGGAGGTGTGGGGGCAGTGAATAGGCTCATAAGGTGAAACTTGAAATAACCTGATCTGATTAGAATTGTGCATTTAAAATTGATTTAGAGCTTTAGAACTTAGCAGAGAAGCAAATGACCTAGAGGGTGTTATAGCCCCTAATGGCAAAATGCAGAAAATATAAAAAACGAAAAAGATCACATCAGATATGTTTATGCAGTTCGGAGAAATTCTATGCAAGCCCATGTTCGTGTAACTGCTCTCTACTATATGCAGGTTACACGATCATACACAATATGATGAAACACACTTCTCCATATTATTATGACTAACCTCTATTTAGAATTGCTTCGGAATTCTCAATATGTGGGGCCCACATCCGTATAATAGCTCTCCACTCTATGCAGGTTACACCGACCATACACAATATGATGACACACACTTCTCCAAATTATTATGACAAAGCCTCCAAATTACTTCAAGATTACATCTCCACCGAGATCTCATGGACATACATGGTTGCCAGCCCTCTTGATCAGCTCACATTCATCTTTTAAATACCACGATCTTTGTACATTGAAGAATCTACTCTTAATGTTGATCATAGATGTGACAGGAATGCTCTTGATCAGCGTGTATTTTGTGTTTTCCCTCTAAATCGCTCCACTAAATTCAAGGTCCTCTGATGCGTATAAATACGCCATTACAAGTTACAACTCCTTTAATCTTAATCTACAATTAAGACAGAACTCCTATGCTCACTGATGTACAGTCATTAGTTTATTGATGTTACTAACACTATTCTAAACAGCAACAGTAATGAAAAATAAATTAGTATGAACAACCTTTCTTTTGGTTCTTGCATTGTAAAAAAAATCCTTTCTCTGATTGTGCAGAAATTTCCTAACTACAAACAATAATATAAAAGAAACGCTTACTTAATCCATGTGTCCCAAAAAACTGTCACATTTGGATTTTGTAGAGATTAGGGAAAAAATAACTGGTTGAGATTTATATTAGAGTGACAATCAATATGAGCCAAAAAATTCCTTCCTTGAGAGGTAAACGGAAACAGTTTTTCAAGACAAATGAAAAACAAGAGTTGGCAAAGCTTAAAGGGACGGGAGGAGTACTAAACTGGTTGGACATTTACCTCATCAGACTTATCACTACAAGTTTCTCCGAACTCCTTTCTGAAAGCCAGTTCTATCTGTTATAAAAATTGAATAAGTTGCAAAAAGACACCAATGTACTACATCAAGTTCAGTTGATAAGAACAAGGTATGAAAACTAAATAACTTCGATTTCAGAAAGTGCATCTACAAAATATAGGACCCTATGCATATGATGTTGGGATTTGAAATAAGAAAGTTCTTTAGTTTTTTCCTACGCAGTCTGGTTTCCTGCAAATCTTGCAGTTGCCTTTTTTTGTGTCTAGCTTCTTTGTTTTATACACTTCTTTTATGGAAAGAAATATACACATCTTGCTATGTCTTTGAGTATATAAAGGATGCTTTTTCTTCATATTTTTTCCCAAGAAAGCTAAAGAAAAAACACAAATTCCTTACTTAATATACCCACTAAAAAATGAATATGTTCGTTGAAATCCCGCGATAAAAGCTATTGGGCCAGTACAGTAGCTTTAATTTAGGTCATTTTTGCAGTTGAATGTTAAGAGAGAAGAAACAGAGAAAGGAGTGGAGAAAATTAAACTGCTTTAAATTATTAAGGTTGGGCGAAATATGAAACATTTGAGAAAGAAACTGTTACAAAATCTCAGAAGAATGTTGAAACTTCCTACAAAAGTTTGAGCAAAGTTACCGTAGGTTTATGAAATAGAAGTTTTTTGAATTGTTTTCCAAACTTTACAATGCTAAAAAATAAACAATCAAGAAGAAGCCATGTTCAATATTTTTCTCCAAAATGGAGAAATCAATACTATTTTCCATTTTATAATATTTTATTCCTAAATAGAAAACAATGTTTTCTTCCTTCCCAAACAGAAAGCATGGGCGAAGTGGAGAACATTTATTATTTGTCCATGGAACAGGTGCTCAACCTGCAAAGCTTGTAACTCAGCACCATCTTGCTTAATATTGTCAGAGAATAGTAATTGGTGTACCACCTGTCTCGCCTCAACCTCTTCTGTCAATGTTTTCCATTCAGAAAACAAAAACTGAGTGGTAAGTGACAAGCAGAAAATGACAATGAACCAACTTCGAGTATGTTGGAAAGGAGTTTGGATGAGATATGGGAGAGGGAAAAGTTTTCATTTTCAGCAAATGTTGTAGGGCCTAAAATATTGTTTTAACTTTATACGTTTTTTTCAAAACAAAATACTCCCTCAGTTTCAAAACTAAAATCTCATTTACTATTCAGGGGTCAAACAATTGTCTTCACTTAATTTTGTTAATCGTTTTTTAAAATAATATAGTCATGTCACCTATCTTGTTTATAGAGCATTAGATGTAGTTTTTAAATGTATAATTTTATTTTAAAATATTTTATCATTATTTAAATAAATTACTTTAAAAATAAATTCAATCAATCACCGTAATTTGTAACAGGATCTAGTTTTGGGACAGAGGGAGTATGTGGAATGAATCGAATGATAACTTTCTTTACAACACTTCATCCAAATTACTTACTATTTATTCGCATAAAAAATACTCCCTCCGTCTCACTCTCTTTGTCCACTTACATTTTGGCACACCATCCAATGCACTTCTTTAATCCATTTTATCTTGTAATTTGTATATTAAAAAATTATAGAAATTATTTATTAATAATCTATATGTTAAAACAAATCAAACAAGATCACACATGACTATATTTAGGCTTACACATTGAGAGAATTTGATGAGTCAAAGTGCTTAGATGAACAGTTCCAAAAGTCAAAAGTGAACAAAGAGAGTGGGACGGAGGTAGTATATCATTATCTTGAAATAAAAATAAAAATAAAATGTCCTCGCCCCTCACACCCTTTCAAACAAAACCTTAGCTGCTAGAGAATGAACTTTTTATGAACCCAAGGGATTTACTAGAATTTTTACCATATGTTATTAGGGAAGGAACACTAATACTAGTTAGGTTGCTATGAATTGTAGAAATAAAGAAATTATGTACAGAGTACTACCCTTTATTTTTCATATGCTCCCTAATGCAACAAATATGGGAAAACCACTCTCTTTGATACTTGGTATGATGTTTTCCATACTTTTCATTTGAAATAGTCTATTCCATTTTATTACTCGGGAGTAATACTTTGGTCTTTTTTATATTTAAAAAATGCAATAGCCAACTAATAAATATAAAGACACCAAATAGGTAAAATAACCCAATAATGAAATTTGTTAGGGTGTCATCCCACATCGGAAGTCCAAGAGTAAAATAATCGGTATATAAGCTCTTGAGTTGAACTAACTAATCGATTGGATTCAATCTTTTAATGTGGTTCAGCCCAAGTGTCTTATTGCCCAATCCAGTTATCTCTACCCAATCCTAAATGCTATCATGGTATCAGAGCAGTTTTAGCCCACCTCGTTCGTCAAGGTGTCCTTTTAAACGTTCATTCCTAGCGGCCCGTTAGTCTTTAGCCCAGTTGTCCGTATGGATGTTGTACCCAACGGCCTATGGCCTGTTTAACACGATTGCTCGTCTGGAAGTCAATACCCAACGGCTCGTGGTCCTATAGGTGTTGGCGCTCAAAAAAAATCAAGGGGAAGAGAGTCCATTTGCAAGTGGTCAATCGGTTAGATTCAAAATAGGCCGGTTGTCCACTTGAGGGGGAGTGTTAGAGTGTCATCCCACATCGGAAGTCCAAGAGTAAAATAATCGGTATATAAGCTCTTGAGTTGAACTAACTAATCGATTGGATTCAATCTTTTAATGTGGTTCAGCCCAAGCGTCTTATTGCCCAATCCAGTTATCTCTACCCAATCCTAAATTCTATCAAAATTGAATGACGTCTTATGAAGTAAATGAAGATGTACAACAAAAAGGTGCGAGAATCAATAAGTGGCGGGACATTTAAATTTCTTGAAGTACTCAACCTGTACATATATGATACGCCAATCTTGTAAAATTTTTCCAAGTTTACGCCTTTGCCAAGCAAGATTTGTACAAAGAATCCTTAGTAAAGTGATCAATAACTGCAACACATATCAATTATTAAAATCTAGAATCTACAAGGGAGTTTTGGGATTTGCCTCCAGAATAAGATATTTACCTGCCCCAGTTGGGTGAAAGGCTCAATGTTTTGGATAGCATGGCCCTTAGCAGATGTAGGTAATAAGGCTGCATTGCAGATCACAGCAAAGAGAGGATCACGTCCATAGAGCTTCCCATCTTGAATCAGCAAATGCTGTTATATTTTTGTCGCAAGAACAGCAAAATATATTAAAGATAAATCTAAATTAGTACAAACCCACTACTCCCTCCATCCCGTAAAAAGCGACATCTTTCAACATAACAATGGAATCATCAATTCTAGCTATATTTAAAAACTGAAATGAGTTTGTTGGTTTTGCTAAATATAACATATTTAACTTGTTTGTGACACTTTTTTATTAAAAATAATAAACATAATGAAATGGGGTTGTTATGTTTTTAATGAACTCTTTTGGAAAAAAGACAAATTAAGAAATGATCCTTGTTTTATGGAGCCAAAAGAATATTTAGTACTCATTGCTAACCAATCATGCCAATGAGAGGTGCATATCTTGCTAACTAATCATGCCAATAAGAGGTGCATATCTTCGAGGAACAACCTTGTTATGTGCTACCTTTGTTCCTATATAGTGTTCCTGATCCAGTTTACCATGTTCGACTTAAACTATTTTCAATTCAAATTATTTAACAATTGGTGTAGGATTAAAAAACAAAAGTATATATTCACAAAAAACCTCAAAAAGTTCTACAAAACAAGAGGTAACATGATATAATATATATGTAAATATATATATATATACACACACACACTCTCAGGTCCATTAAATTTTCTTCTCACTCTCCTTTTTGGATTGTCCAGGAATTTTCTTGTTTCTTTTTTAGGCAAAAAACCACACTAAAAGGTCTCTTTTACCCTCATTTTTTATTACTCCATATTCAGTTTCACCTCCACTTCCGCCCGTCATCTTCTTCTGCCTTCCCAGATCTCACTCTCTTCCTCTCTCTTCCTCTCTCATCCTTTTCCTTTCCTCACTAAAATCATGCATCTCTCAACCTTGAGAACATCTTCTTCAAATAACCTTCTGATCTTCCCCTCGAGAGTCGAGACCCTCTTCTCAACCTTCCATCTTTTTCCTCTTCAAACCTTTCTTCCGATCTGCACCTTCTGATCATAGATGCAAGCCAATCTGAACTGCCACCTAGCACTTCCGATCTGCACCTTCAACCCATCTTCTTCTGCTACCTCCATATTATTCCTCTTCAAACTCTGCTTTGCCTTCCTTGTACTATTCCCAGTTGACAGATTTACCGTTGGATCTGAGGACTCTGACCAATTTTTACAGGTAAATGGGTAATCATTGTTTCGTCATCAATGACCAGAGAAAGATTATTACTTCTAGATCTATTCACTACCCGAGAAGTACCCTTGAGGTTTTTACAATGCATTTTGTATTTTTGTTTGAGGCAATTCCGTTTTTTCAGTTTTTTTATGGTTTGAGATTATTGGAAAGTGGTGTTCTTAAGCTATGAGGTCCTTTTTCTGGGTTCAGATGGGCGATTGATGGAGTTGCAATGAAACGGAAGAATATGTTGCGAAGTGGAGGGGAGAGTGGGAGACGGTCAAGATCTAGCGGAGTCAAGGGGAGACGGAGACAGGGGCACAGACACAAGGGGTATTTTAGTAAAGTCAAGGCAATTTTCATCTTTCCTTAACATCCGTGTAAAGTCAAAATGGAAAAGTAATTGTTGGACGGAGGGAGTATATAACTATATAAGTAAAGAAGACGTGGTACCCTGTGAATAATGTTTATGAACACTAATATGGAACGCAGGTTACAGAGGACGTAACTACATAAACCTTATTTAGCAAATAGAATAGCAATATTAAAAGTGTCAATTGAATATATTAGGGGCTCAGTTGACTCCCTATGCAATATTTTTACAATGAATGCTCCCATTTTGGTAGTTTATGTTTTATAGAGGTAATAATATATTTTTTATGAAATCCATATTCCATTTATTAGACAGTGATTTATTTGACTTAAGAATTTTCAAGGGCAGGGCGCCTGCCTAATTTGCCATTGAAGCCACCGGTGTATGTTGGAGAGCAGTTTCTGATGGGTGAGTTGGTAAGGAAGCCTATTCATACTCCAGTGGGACTACTTTGCCCAAATTTCAGTTCAGCAGTTGTCCCATTTTTGCCCTGAGCTCATTCACGGCATCCCTCAAGACTCAAGTGCTGTAATTTTTATAACAATATTATTATTTTTAGGTGGTCAGCTATAGGAATGCCCATCATGCCAGAAACTAATACCTCATTGCAAAATGAGGGTATCTATAGTCAAATTTAAATACAATAATGAATTCCTAGACGAAATAAGAATAGAAATAATTGTTATCTAATTAACTATACTATCTAACTATACTGTTGGAGAGCAGTTTCTGATGGGTGAGTTGATAAGGAAGCCTATTCATACTCCAGTTGGACTAGTTTGCCCCATTTTCAGTTCAGCAGTTGTCCCATTTTTGCCCTGAGCTCATTCACGGCATCCCTCAAGACTCAAGTGCTGTGATTTTTATAATAATATTATGATTTATAGGTGGTCAGCTATAGGAATGCCCGCCATGCCAGAAACTAATAACTCATTGCAAAATGAGGGTATCTATAGTCAAATTTAAATACAATAATGAATTCCTAGACGAAATAAGAATATAAATAATCGTTATCTAATTAAGGGGTTGTTTGTTTCAGCCTCTTAATGGTTCAGATGTCTGAATGATTCAGCACTTAATGGTTCAGACTGTTTGTTTCAGCCTCTTAATGGTTCAGATGTCTGAATGGTTAAGAGATTTGCCTCTGAATGGTTAAGTATTATACAGAGTCTGAATGGTTAAGAGCTGTTATCTGAATTGATCAGACATTTGCCTCTGAATAGTTAAGCAATATACTAGCTCTTAATGGTTCAGATGTCTGAATGGTTAAGAGATTTGCCTCTGAATGGTTAAGTATTATACAGAGTCTGAATGGTTAAGAGCTGTTATCTGAATTGATCAGACATTTGCCTCTGAATAGTTAAGCAATATACTAGCTCTTAATGGTTCAGACCTCTTACTGGTTCAGCACTTAATGATTCAGACCTCTTACTGGTTCAGCACTTACCCATTCAGAAGTTGCCAAACAGCCCCTAACTATACTATCTAAAATAAAACTTCTCTTGTCCAGCAACTCCCTGGAACATGATTCCATGTGTTCTGCTTTGCTGCCATGAGCACATATCACATCAATTATGATTGATTAGCACTAACCATTAGAGGCTAATTGACACTTCAACAGCTATCAATTACTGCCTCCATCTCATAAAGTCTTATTTCATAAATTAACAACTACCGATTATTTAGTTTTAGCAAGGTACAACTATTGGAATCATCAAATATAGCTAATTTTTTAAATACTCCCTGTGTCCAAGTGTCCATAAATTATAGTCACTCTTTAACTTAATAGGGTTTTGACAATAATTGAAAAGTAAACAATGAAAGGATAGAATTCATTTAGACTTCAGAAGAGAATAATATTGCGAGCCACATATTCTTTTCCTTGAGGAAATGTGAGAAGTGTGACTAATTTTAGGACGCCAAAAATAGAAAATGTGACTTTAAAAGGTAGAAATGTTGGAAATCATCAAACATATCTAACTTTTAAAATATCATTGTTTGGTTTAACTAAAATTAACATATTAGGACACTTCAGTAATAAAATACATTAAATATGACAAAAATTGGCTTATTCTGTTCAAATTAGACTCTTTTTTTGGACAAGAATAATTTTAGAAATATAACTCTTTTTAAGGGAATCGGGGCTAATATTTTTGTTATTTTATTCTCACACTTAGACTATAAATAGTCCCTCTTTAGAATAGAGGCATGTAGTAGCATTGAGAATATTTAGGCATTTTGGCTGGATATGTTCTCAATTTAGATAATAAAATAAGAAAAAAAGGGATAATTCTACTAAAAAACTACTCAAGAAAGGATCACTTTTGAATTGTGTCTAGAAGCCAACAATGGAAAAACACTAATTGAAAACTACAGTTTGTTTAATTCTCTGATGGAAGTTACTTGGATTACAACCAAATGGTCAACAAAATAATAGTAAACCCCTACAAATTAGAGATAACAATAGACTGACCTCTAGTGAACTTATCAGATCCTAAAAATCAGCAACAGCCTCAAAACAGAATACAACTAACGTCTTCCAAGATAATGGTATGCTTATTTTTCAGCAAAACTTTTTATATTGTGATGCACTTAAACTAGTCCCTAAAATTACAATTAGCCCTTAAAATATGCAATGAAATAAAATCAGGCTAATTTATTGTTTCAAACTCAGACCTCGTAATAACTATCTAATCACTTGGGCAAGTTTAGATTTGCTATGCAGAACATTCTGACAATCATCTTGCTTGAAAGTGCAGATTTGCACTTCTATGTACTGTAGTCCTAATCCGCTAGCAGTAAAATTAATCTTGTTCGGTTACAATAAATAATCTAACATTCCAGCATCCTCACTCCAAAAAATATTCTTTCACACTGCAAGAGGGGGCGTTGTGTAAAATGCTAATACTTTCTTGATTAACAAAACACATTACTGGACAAAGATTAAAAAATCAGATAGCCTTCACAAGATATATATCAAAAACGTTGAATTTTCATGTGAACTGATTGGTCTAAGAATAAATTTTATGATGAAATGAATAAACTCGAACAAACAAAACTGTTCCAATGGAAATAATAAACAACAGACCTGGAGATGAGCTCTAGCAACTAATTCAGGTTGCAGCTTTTGAAACTCAACTACAAAGTGCAAAACACTTTCAAACATTGGATCCAAATTGTTGGAGCATATATAATCTAGCTCATGAAGAAGCTTTCTGAAGTAATCAATTGCCTGGTGAAAGGGACAAGTCTATTCATCTAGAGAAATTAAATAAATTAACTATGATTTTAAATTTTGTTCACAGTTACCTTTTTCCAGCAAAGTATCTTAATGGAGCGGGGTGGAGCTGGAGCTGATAACCTGCTGTTTAAAGTAGAATCAAACCCAATAGGCGCACAACCAGAGGCAGTCGTTTTATCTTCTTTTGAATCATCTATTAGTGCACATGCATTATTTTGACTCAGGAACTTTTCCGTTTTAAGCATGGAATCTATCTCTTGTAAGCAAGAAGCAATGTGTTTCTTTGCTAAATCAAAGCCTCTTCCTTGAGGTCTCTTCATATTTGTCAAAACACGGTAAAAGTGCTGAAACAGCAGGGCAGAGACGAGAATTATTACAAAGAAAAAAGAGTGGCCTTTTTGCAGTATGGCATGCATGTGGGTTGTTAATACAACCACTAGCTGACCATACATCTGTATTCCTTGATTTAATTTTTATATCCAAATTCAACTAGTTTTGAGATTGTGTGACCAAATCAATGAAAGTAAGACAATTAAAAAAATGCTTCCAGGCCTCAAAGCAAACTGTATGTCTGAGCACTATTATCAGTATTCTAAATCAGTACTACATCCAACATAACCAAAAGCACACATGTTCATCAATGTCATGATCCATGAATTGACGAATTGGCTTTCAAGGCCCCGCGTAACATATGCAGGCTTCTAACACCGAAAGAAAAGTTTGCAAAGAAGAACGAAGTAAAACCTTACGAAAGCGTAAACGACATAGCACTGCTTTACAGAATCCTTCTTCCAGATCCAGATCAGCTTGTAATGGCTCCATATCTGCAAAATAAAATAAAAACATCACTACAAGTATATCAGAAAGGTTGCTCCTTCCCGACTTTGGAGCCTATAAAAGGCAGAGCTAAGAGGCATATACTAGTGAATCTATTAACACAAGGCATAGAGGCAAAGCAAGAAAATTAGATGAAATACCAAAAAAAATGTATCAAACCAAATAGAAAAAACGGTACTATAATCTGGATACTAACCAGAAGCAGCAGTTTGAGGAGGGAGAGAGGTGAGTGAAAGTAAGGGCCCGTTTGGTTAGCGCAGGAGATATAGGTTTCCATATCTCCCAATATCATATTTTCTTTTTTGATGTTTGGTGAGGCATAAAATTCAAATTTGATATCACAAATCCTCCAAATGGAGGGTTTTGATATCTCCCGAATTTTGGAGATATCAATACAGGGGTTCACCCTCAACCATTGACAACCCCTCACCACCAGTTACCACTGCCACCACCAACCACCCCCGTAGCCTGTCACCCCGCCTATCACTAAGTAAATCATGATTTTAAATCTCTCTAAAAAACTTCATTTCAGATTTCAAAACCAATATCATTTCTCCAAAATTTCAAAATCCATATCATATCATATCTCCAAAACTCACCAAACAAGCCCTAATGTGCTATACAAAGAAAAACTAGCAGCGAGGAATGAAGCTGTGAAGGTACACAATAGGCACTAATAAAGAGCTAGAAAGTAGTGTAGGATTCGGCTGAATGTGGAATTCTTTTTGCAATAAAACAAAATTGGAAAAAAAATGATTTCTTATACAATTCATAATAGGAAGTCTTAGGTGGATTAATTTGTACTCCAATAAGAACCTTTGACCAATGCAAAAACAGACTGCTCAGAAACTAAAAAAGTGTTGCAGTAACCAGTAGCCCACATAGCCCAAGCAAAATTATTCATAAAAAAACACCTTGAGTAGCAGATAAATAAAGACCAGCATCAATATATGGATATTCCAATTGCCAATGCCTAAAGCAAATCATTATAATCTTGAATTGTTTTTGGCAAAAAATAGTAAAAAGTTGATATTGCAAAAATTTATATCAAGACGAATCTAAGAACACCCCACATGGCTGTATTTTGTTTTATGTATAAATCACAAAAGATAATCACATGTGAGTGAATGAATAGTGTCAAACCTTTCACTGTTGCATTTGTTAAGAACGGAGAAAGTATTAGGTTCTAGCTTTATGTTCCAGATAAATCTTTTGTACTTTAACCTAGAATACTTTGGTGGGCTTAGGCAAATCATTTTAAGGTTTAGTCTTTCGAAACAAACCAAACCAAACAAAACCGACCGATACCGGCAAAAAACGACCAAAAATGACCCTAAGTGAAACAAACTAAAGCGACCTAAGTTATTCAGTTTGGTCTTTGGTTTTTCACAAAAACAAAAACTGACCAAACCAACAAAAAAAATCCTACTTCACTGTGACAATTCTTTGCCTAAATAGTTATTACTAGTTACTACAAATTTAAGGGAAAAGAACATAGTAGCAAAGTTTTGTGTTTGATGACCTTCCTATCACAGCCATCTTACAAAGGAATAATGACATAAGAATTCAAATCTATCATTATCATAGGATTTTTTCACCTGCATGAAAAATATTGTGAGACAGCAATACATTGAGATAGTTCTTATATTCATGTCCTATTACAACACTGGCTTTGATATTGTAAATCAACATGTGCAGCGCCATGAAAAGTTCTACCACCAGATTTCCCAAGAATGGAAAAGGGACATGAAAGCAAATTTGTCTGTCTCCCAAATCATAGATGTCGTCATGCCAATAACAATTTATTCAATCCAGTATACATCAACAAGCAACATTAACAACAATCTTAGATTATCAGATGAATACATATTAGGACATGTAGCCTAGATAAGGGTTAAGAATAGATCTCAATAAGATACATAGCTTGATGACTACCTTCTAATGCTCTCTTCTTAATTAATGTAGCTTTGCAAGCACGTAATTGGCGAGAAACAGTTTCGTCTACTACATTTAACATTGTTAAGCATTTGTCATCCCCGTCCACTTTCAATGGCAAGCCGTGCGTCATAGTGAATAGATCTTCCTCCTACCCCAAGACAAAAATCAAATCTCAAATACTAACAATATGGTTTGTTATTCATGCAGAACATCTATCAGTTAAAATGCACATCTAGGGGTCCCATATAAATGTCAGCCTATAACTAACCATATTTCAAAAAAAATAGAAAAAAAACACTTAACGTGAACACCTGGACTAAACTGCATGATGTATACAGTTGGGCAAGGCAGCACATGTCTCCATTTCATTGCAAACACAACAAACAAAATTCTAAATTGCCACATTTCCCTTGGTGTTCATTATTCAAGGCCAAATTCATTATAATTTCATTGATGAATTGTATGTTTCCTGATATGGTGTGCTTTTCTGATCACTCACGATCAAAGCGCAATTTGAACAAAAAAAACCTAGAGGCATGTTCTTGTAGTGACTAGTGAGGTAAATGGCGTTGAATGAACTTACCTAAGGTGATGCCCTCTAAAGCTAAGAAAGGGTGTGATAACGTTAATCAAATGAATGAGCAAGAAGCAGTTGCCATGGTTAGTTCAAAATGACAAATCACAACAACTATGATGATACGATGTGTAATATTGACCTCTAGTATTATGATACAAGTGTGAAGTGACTAGTAAGTTCAATATGATACAAGTGGGTAGTGACTAGTGAGAATCCGGACTGAAACGCCCCACCATAATTGTTCCCTACTTCAATAATCATTGATTGAGATGAGTAGCAGTTATTGCATTAAGCTATCTTCCAAAAATACAGAAAAGGTTGTTGGAGTACTTTACTTCATTTGTTCGTGCCTCTGAGACTGTGGAAACAACTGCATCGCATGTAGCACGTGTGACTTGGCAATATGAATGTAGAAGTGGATACGATGATGTTCTATCAGGCCTTAAAAGGTAGATGCAAGAAAATACAGTTTGTGCCAGTGATTGACCTTTATGCCATGTAGCCTGCAAAAAGAGACAAGAGTATTATTAGAGAGGTAACATTCCTACAATATCTATAATGAAGCCTTTCAATTAACTGATTCATACTGTAGAACACTAAAATGTACCTCACAAGCAAGAAGATGATCCATAATGTCAATAATGCATCGAACATCAATGGTTCTGTTGACACTCAGAGGAACAGGAGCAACACCATAGTCTATTGCTTCATCAACTGAATAATATGTACGAACCATACCAGAATCCATCTTTGGATCCATTATCTGGTTATGAGCCAAGACGTATTTGAGCAGACATGACAAGAAAGATAAACAAATCAGTATCAATTTTAAAAATAAATTATTGACCAAATAAGAAAAGCACCAAACATAAGAATGCAGCACTACCTCTAATGCTGACATGGCGGCAAGATAATTAAAATTTTCTCCAAGTATGAGTTCTCCATCCCTAAGATCTGTGACAACAACCATGAAGCATAAGGGAAATAAAACTATAAATATTCTGGAATTATGCCTCTTGGAACCCCAAAAGACTACTTAACATTGTCATTTGGAGGTAGGGAATGAAAGGGTAGGATTACAGTAGATTAAAAGTGTACAAGCATAACGATAGGGTTCCTGTAAAGGATAAGCTGCATAAGTACTCATCAACCCATCTAGAGAAAAAGGGAAGATGAGGAAGTTGGAAATACATTGCATATTTTTAGAAAGTTGGTAGTTAGGGAATATACACACACACACACATATATATATGCACACACAATTACACACACACACGTACATACATACATATATATACATGAAGTAGAGAAGCTGCTTCCAAAAGAACCCGGCTTAGATACAAAAGTATGAACAAAGAAACCACTGAAGCACGAACAAAGTACAAACACGGCCAAAGAAGCACACAAGTTGACTGTAATAACTAGACATAAAGCACAAGCATACAATACAGGCTAAAGCATAAAAACACAAAACTAAAGCCCACAACTCTACCCAACTACTCTTATTCTAGATCTCCACGCACTCCTTGCACTCCTAAGTCCTATCTAAGGTTATATCCTCCATAAGATCTTGAACTCATAGGCCATGTCTAATCACCTCTCTTTCTAGGTCTACATGTACCCCTCTTTGCACCCTCTACCGTAAGCCACTTGCATCCCCTAACGTGCACAAACCACCTCAGCCTAGATTCACGCAACTTAACCTTCGTACTTACAACCATATTGTGAGTATATATATAGACAAACACACACACACATCTACACACACACATATATATACATATGTAAATGTGTGTGTGTGTGCGCGCGCATGTACGTGCATGTGTGCATGTATGTATGTTTAAACGAAATTTAAACACTAAGTGGGTTTGTGGTTGTGTTGATACTGTTGAACCACTACTTCATTAAAGTTGTGGCATGATTTTAGAGATATTCTCTCATGTTTACTTCATTATCACTATTTCAGCTCGATATATATTATCAGTAGCATAAAGCTGAGAGAGAGAAATCAGAATTATATTTTTATCAATTAGAGATTCTCCTTTGGAATTTTTTTAATGGAGAAACTTAAAAGGTTTTAGCAGAGTGCTCTTTCTTTTCTGTTTATCAGATTCAAAATATATCATAACTAGAAAAAGTTTAACCATGCATACAAATTTACAGGAAGGTAAAAATATAATTAAATAGTTGTTTATAACTGAAAACCAAATTTCATGTTGGGATGATTGGACCTTCTCTCTGGAACATATTCTATCTATTCATCATTTTCTGAATGGCATTACTGATGTTTTAAACTACAATTTCTATCAAAGTAGACAGCCATAATGGGGAAAATTGATCCTTGTATACAAATCCTATATCAAATTAGGATAAAAATCATGTTAAAAGCATTAGGCATGCAGTAGGCATGAGCGTAGGAAAAAAACAAAACGGGCTTTGAGCAACCTAAGCTCTGAGCTGCCTAAGAAGAACCTCAGGCAACTTCAACACACTAAGCGGCTAGTCTGCATTTTATGAATATGGATAGAAGTCAAGGTGTATCTGTTAAATAAATTTTGAAAGCACAATTTCATGTTGGACTTTATTGAGTGAACCTGTGAACTTATTGTCTCCATTTCCAACTGGTCTTCCAGAGCTTCAGGAACTCAAAATCAATGGCAAGCTTTTCAATCTACAATATTTTTCTGTTTGACCCAGGATGAGGCAGTGTAGAAAGAATTACCCTGGTCACTCACCCCGGAAACACCCACACGTGACATGCCAAACCTACTGGTGGCGTGAGGTCTACCCGGTCTTCACATTGGATGGATCTCATGCAACAAGTCTTTAGTTTATTGCACGCAACAAGCAGGAGATCCGGATTCAGGTTTTGAGACAATGAGCCATCACTCTCATCAGGTACGAAACAGCAAAATCTTAGTAATTTACCCTTTTATATCTTTGTGATAAAGAAGGTACCACAAATGTAATTAAATGATCATAAAGCACTACTACTGCAAATTCCATTCCATTTTAGTTAACAATCAGCCGCCTATTTTCCTAATTCATAACGTCTTGCTTTTTGTGGGTGTATATAATTTGCATCCTAATTCATATATGAGGTATAGCATAGAAAACCATTTGCATATTTCAAAATACACATTTGAATAAAAACTGCAACTTGATTCAAAACTAAACTGAAAGTAACTTAAATCATGCTCCAAAGACATACTAGTCATTCTATATGATACTATGTATTATATATGTATCTATAAATAATCATTGAAAGATAGGAACCTTCACATGCGTGCTGTAGAAGAGGTGAAATGTCAGTCCAAACGGTTTGCTCGCCGGAAGGAATGGCGGAAGGGTAAATGGGTAATTCTACGTCTCTCCCTCTTTGGTTTTCTCTCTTGTCCCCCATGTCTGGTACTTCTGAAAGCCTCTGCAACTGCGGGTTTGAGAGAGAGAAACCTGTGAGATCTTTGGAATGGAGTCTCGCTTCACGACCAGAGACTTGAGACAGCGTTGGCTGTAGGGTAACTGGGTAAGGGATGGAATGAAGGGAACCAAAAAAAAATTGGGTATCTTAATTGGAAAATTCTAGGGTGCCACCACTGGGTGCTACCATGGGCTCATGTTTCGCACAGACAAACACAGACAATTATTGTCTGTGTCGCACAGACAATTATCGTCTGTGTTTGTCTGTGCGAAGCATGAGTGCACCCATGGTAGCACCCATGTGGTGGCACCCTAGCATGGTCCATCTAAAATATTATACGTAGTATTTTCAAAAGAGTAAATTTCATAATTAATCGTTTATAACAAGGCATTTTTAATATTTAGTATTATATTATCAAATATTATGTCTGTGATCCTTCTTTTATGGGTATTAAAAATAGTTTTTTATCATCAATCGTGTTGGTGTTAATTTGAGAACTAAAAGTGTAATTTCACAATGATCTTATATCTTTCTTATCATACACAATTCCAGAGGTCGATCGTGATGCGTCGTTTGTGAATCAGTCGCTGTCTACAACAACCATATTCTACAGATGTGGTCTTTCGTCGAAATCCTAGTTCACAGCCATAGTCATTATTGTTGTGGTATCGTCTAACCAACATCAAAGTACATCACTGGATATAAGGTTAAGGAAAAAAGACTAAAGTAAGAGTAAAACATTGATAATATACTAAAATAGAAGTTTCATATTTTTATTATCAAAATATGAGTTAAAATGCATTTACATTACCATGTAAATTACACGTAAAATGCACATGTATAGTGTCATATCACCACAATACGAATTCATATTTAGAAAATAAAAACATGGAACTCTTATTTTTGTAATTTTCTACTCCGTATGTTTTAGTCATATTTAAAGTGATCTTTTAAGGTTAATGTCAAATTATATTTTTAACCCTTAAATTAACACCAACAAGCCATATGGTCAAAAGAATGACTATTTGTTAAAAAGTACTCATAACAGAAGGATCACGAGCATAATATTTGATAATAAATTACTAAATTTGAAAATTCACATATTATAAAGGACGAATTATGGAATTTATTCTTTTCAAATTCAAAGACATCTAAAATTTAGTACTCCGTAGTATATTATTTCGGACTACTTTCCATCCGAGCCACTGTTACAATGAGAATTTTATTAAGAGCAATGCTATGTTCACAAACAAAATACTCATAAACTTCACAAACTTACTATTTATGATTTAAAATTTTATTTTAAAATCATTTTAGACCATTTAATTTTATGCATGGAAGTTCACAAATAGTAAATTTGTGAAGTTTGTAACTGCTATGTTTGTGAACCAAGCATTCCCTTTTATTAATGACAGTTGAAATTTCTATTTTATCCGTAATTACTATGCTGTTGCCTCAAGTTTTATAAAGTTGGAAATCTACTTTTAATTTATTTGTTTCTATTAGAGTTTAATTTAATATTTTGGTTTGCCTTAAAAATTTTAAATTATTAGTTTCCATTTAAGTAAAAAATATTAATTTGCATTTATTATTCACTAGATGTAAATCTTGATTTTAGAGATTAAAAATTTTGAATTAAAGTCGTGTATAAAAAGTTTGTATTATTTAAGATACAACTTTATACATAAGAAAATAATTAATTATTTATTCCATTTTAGTTTTTTATTCTACTCTCAATCAAAAGATATAACAATTAATACTAATAATCAGCATCATCACAATCATAATAATAATACTAAAACAATAATAACAATAATTATTATAATAATTATAAGAGTAAATTCCATAAAAGATCATCAGTTATAGATCGCTTTAAATATTTAGTCCATGCATATCAAATATTACTAATTTACTCCCCAATTATTATATTCATTTCCACGAATGGTCCTTTATTAATATTTTCGTTAAGAACGTGGATAAAATTAAAAATTCACACTTCTTTCTCTTCTCAATTAAGCTTCCTCCCTCCCCTCGCACTCCTTTCCCAAACCCGTCGCTGAGTTTGAAGCTTTGAACCCAAAATCGAAATCATCACTCTTCTCTGAATTGTTTGTAAAACTGGTGGAACGTAACCCAAATTCGAAACCAGTTACCTTCATAAATGAGTTTTAATGTTTATTTTCTTTGCAATTTCTTGAGACTAATCGATAAAACTCATCCATAAAGCTTATTGGTTTTGATTTTAGGTTCCACCGGGAAGACTACTAATTGAGAGAGGAGTGATCGTTTTAGTTTTGGGTTTAGAGCTTCAAATTCAGCGACGAGTTTGGGAAAGACTATGAGATGGGGGAGGAAGTTTAATTAAGGAGAGAGAGAAGTATGAATATACAATTTTATCCATGTTCTTAACAAAAACGTTAACAAAGGACCATTCGTGAAAAATGATATAATAATTGGGGACTAAATTAGTAATATTTGATATGTAGGAACTAAATATGTAAAATGACCTATAACTGAGGACCTTTTATGGAATTTATTATAATTATAGCATTAATAATGATAATAATAAATATTACAATGATGATGATGATGATAACTTACTATTTTTTTTGGAGACAGAGCGTTGATTTGGAGAGAGTTAGAGTCCCCACCGAATGGTGCACGTCAATTGCTAGAGGATGATAAGGTAGGGTACTATTGGCCTAGGCGCGCGACATTGATGAACCTTTCTTGAAGTTCTGAGGTTGTTACCTCTCCATTTCGATAAAAACTTACTATTTATGTCGGTCAAAACATTTCCTAAAATAAATAGTTAAAAAAAGTAATAAATTATAGCTTTTGACTTAGAGTAAAATAAAAAATACTACATTAAAAATTGTAATAAATATTTAATTATTTATTATATATAAAGTTATATCTTAAATTATTATTTAGTTCAAAATTATTTTTCTCTAGAAGACAAAATTTACATGTAGTGAGTGATTAATGGAAATAAAACATTTAATTATATATATTGAAAACCAAAAGAATGGAAACCAATAATATAAATTAAACTTTAATATAAACCAATAAGTTAAAAAACGGTTTGGTTCACCTGACATCAGGTGTAAATGTCATGCTATGACATATTGCATCTCAGCCATTGGATCTGATTTCTTTTTAAAATAAGGGTCTTGATTTGCTTCCTTATACTAGATCTCTGTTTCGTTTCTCAATTAACGGAGAATCACGTAATATTCTCCGTCACTCATTCGCACACCATCTCTCTCGCTCTCTCACCCTTTGCGTCTTGAATTGATGCTTTCGCCATTCTCTCTGATTATCATCGACGGCGACTTCATCCATCTCTCCGGACAAGTACATTGGAGCTTGGAATACTGGTAACTTTAAATTTTTCCCCTTCAAAATCTCGTTTTTTGTCCTTGCAATAACAATTGAGTAGTTTTATTATTTTTTACTTTTTTTTGTTTAGATCTTGAATTTAAAAATCCAAATCTCATGGCGACACAAGAAACACTGTTTTTGATAATAAATTTTACCTCTTTAAACCCCCATATTTTTTGTTCGTGCACTTACAATTGTGTAGTTTTTGTTTTTTTTTTGTTTAGATTTCTTAAAAAGTGTAAATCCCATGGCGTTGTGTTTAATTTGGCTTAACTTGGTCGAATTTTGAGGGAATTTTGGTTAGGTTGATTGAGGAAATTTTGGTTTTATTTGTTCTTCACTATTGTGCTTATTTATTTTGAAAACATTATCTAAAACATACGAGTATTTTACACTGCATTTTAGTTTGTAGGTCACTGATTACATCCATATAGTGGGTTTGATGGGTGTGGACGAACCAACACCTTTACAAACATCTGAGATGAGCACTTCCGATCCACAAGTGGTTTTTGTGAGCCGTTCTCAACACCAAGTAATAAATGAAGAGCATCATTAAAATATTTCTAAGGTTGGAATGACTTTTGCAACTGTTGACGAATTTGAGAATTTCTACTATGATTATAGTTCATCTAATGGTTTTTATACAAAAAGGCGGAGTAGTGTAGGCGATGGATATCGTAGGTGGGTATGTCGAGCAGTAGGATTTAAAGATCATGACATACCAATGCAAATCGACGATGAAGGGAGGATGTCTAATTTTTTTTTGGGTGGATGCCCGTTCTAGGATGGCTTATAGGGGAACAAGAATGAATACGTTCAGCGCTGTACTTGTTGGAATTTCAAAGGAGTTGTCATGATTTGTTAGTTATGTATTTCATGTAATTTGAGGATTTGAATGTGTTGTTCTTTTCTAAGATTGTTAAATTTGAGACTTGTGTAATTTGAAACTAGATTTTCACTCATTATGACTACTTTGCACAACACATACAAGGCAGTAACTAGTCTGCCAAAATGAAGAGAGGAACCCCTGGGCTTCTTACTTTCTGTATAGCCTTCATGGCTTCTATCTCATTATGAATTTCCACTCATTATTACTAATTTCATATTGACTAATTTCCACTCATGAAAAAAGCCTTCATGAAAAGGCCTTCTTACTTTCTGTACAGTCTTCATGAAAAAAGTTAAATGTATGGGCAACTCCAATTTCACATATATAAAATCCTTATACAGTGCCATTGATTCCCAAATATCAGAACACAAATGCCAACACAATGGTGGTACTGATACATAAAGTATTTAAATCCACGATGAAGAATTGAATGATAAAATAAAGTACATAATTTCATACCACATGCGGCGTGCATACTACATCCAACTACATCCATTTCAATCAACAAGATTTTGGTACAACAATATTCCTACAAAAAAAATACACTACAAATATGTGAAAAACTTCTCGTTTCTCATTTTTTTTATTCTTGACTCCAATACCACGTTCTTTGCATGCACCTCTCGTTCAGGGTTGTTGGCATCTATTACTTCTCCTTGAAGTGCATAAGTCCTTGAAAGTCACTTGCAGTCTCGTTGGAAGTCGGGGTGACAGTCTCCTTGCTACTCACAGGGCCGGGGTAGACTGTTCACGTCTACCATGTGTAACCATTTAAAGAACAAACAATCGGATACTT